TCTTCCTCTGGCCCTCTGGCAATCGCGCAAAGGCAACACGCTCATCAACGCGTCGCCTCCCGCACGCTCGTCGTCGACGCAACCCCCCCCCCCTCCTCCTCTTTCTCTCGCTGTGACTGACAACGCTGACGGAATGATGTACACGTTAGCGCCGCCCTCGTCGCGCTCACCACCTCAACGATCAACATCCTCCTCCTCACCCTCCGCTCCGGCGCCGAGCTCGGCTGGGTCTGCCTCGGCGCCTGCTCCGCCGACGTCCTCGTCAACGCCCTCGCCGTCTTCTGGGTAACCTGGACCCCGTCCGCCTCCCGCCCCGACGAGAGCCGCCAGCAGGCCGTCCCGCCCTGGCGCACCGTCGCGTCCTGGAAGACCAGCGATTTCGATCTCGCCGACGCAGCAGCAGGAGGTGGAGAGGGAGGGGGAGGGGGAGGAGGGGGAGGAGGGGGAGGAGGGGGGTTCACGATCCGCTTCGCGACTTTGGACTCGTCGTCGCCCGCGCACACGCTGCACGACGCCGTCCCCGTGCGGCCCGTCCCGCTCGCGCGAACCCGCTCCTCGGCCGCGATACGGTACGCCGCGAGCGCCACGCCCTGGGAAACGCAATCCCCCACGTTAGAGCGACGAGACGAGGTAGTAGAGGAGGGTGGCCAGGGCCAGGGTCCGGGTCAGGGTCAGGGTCAGGGTAGGCGGTGGCCGCGGAGACCGTTCGCGCCCAGAGCAAACTCGCTCGGCTCGCTAAGGGGTATCGCGAACGCGCTCGGACGACGAGGGACGGAGGCGCAGCCGGGTACGGATCTACAGGTCCAGGTACGTTAACGCATATACTGGGGGGTAAAAATTTCTGGGGACGGAGATCCTGACGAACGCTCGCGTTTTGCGTAGGTCACGAGGATAGATACGAACGACGCCGGCGTCGATACGGGCGGCGGCGGCGACGGCGGAGCTCGATATACTGTCGAACCCGAAACGTTACCGGACGTCGCCGACGACGGGCCGGCGCCGACGCGATATGCGCTCCACCTCGAGGGTGGGATACATGGACCGACGGCACTTCCTCGGACGGGCGTTCCTTAGTCCATGTTACCGTATCGGACCTTTTGTATTCCCTGTTTACCCCACTTCACTGTGTGTACGACTATCGATGACCGCGAAAAAGACCTGGGTGTCAAAGATTGTCTGCGCCATCCAATCGGCCATATGTCCACGTTAACCCCCACCCCCCGCGAGGCATTCGGTGTTGAATCCACGGTTGGAAGGCGTGCCTCGCTATTCTCGAAGGCGCGCGCGTCGGTGGGGTCACGCCATTACTCCACTCCTTGAAATCGAGCTCAACTCGAATTTACGCGATTCTATTTCCTCGAGGAACCGATAATAACGCATCGTCACCAACGGGACTCGAATTCCTTCGCGTTTCGGCCGCGAACGAGAACCAGCGGCATACGTGGTATCCCTTTTTTCTCCTCCAACGAGCGAGCGAGATCTCTCGTCTACGCGCCCGTACTCGCCCTCCGGCCCCCCCGGACTGCCTGTTCTCGCAGATCTACCACCTGGTCCACCGTCCAGGTCCCGAGGTCGACGTCAACCGGGCCTTTCCATTTGGCACGTTTATGGTTGGGGGTTTCGACCGGCTGCCGGAGCTGGGTCGGCGGCGGCGGCGGTGGCGGCAAAAAAGGGGCCCCGGCGGCAGTGGCGGATGCGATTTGGCTGAAGGCGGGAGAAGCGAGGATCGGAGGTGTGTTAAGAGAGCGGCAGGCGTTGATCGCGTCGGAGGGCGCGCGGCTCCCGGTATAGACGGTGTTGATCAGCGTGCAGTGGAGCTACACAGCAGTCAGAAGTCGATCGAATCCGTCCACGTCTCGGTCCGACCCATGAGCTGGTCGAACGTCTGGGGGGAGGGAAGGTAACCTGAGAGGTCGGTGTTCGTCGTAGACCGGTCCCGCGCGGCGCAAGTTGCCTGTTAATGAGAGCCGTGATAGTGGGCACGTTCAGCTCCAGATAGAGGATGGGCTCGAAAGTTGGCAACATGGGGAACAGCAATTCACGGCTCACGCGTTCGAGGCGCGCGTGCCTTCGGGAAGCCACGCAGGGCCGGCCCAAAGGACGTCCACTCATACGTCGATCGAGGTTAAGGGCATCTGGACCTCTCGTCCTTGGACAAGTCGTCGTGGACGGGCTCAACTTGTAATGGTCTTCACAGAAGGTCTTAGTAGCGTATTGGTCATGGATTCAATGACGACAGAGGAAGGGAAAATTCGGTGCGAGCATATTTGAAGCCAGTATGCCCGTCACGCAATTCTGCGAGCAGCAGACAGGGGTTAGGATACCAGAACACGACTGCGAACGATATAACTCAACCCGATTATCATGGCACATCCGAGTCGCGTTACGTGTCTGCCCCTCCCTCGTTGCGCCGGATCCGGGCGTGCGCGCGCGCGGGTATGCCTACCTTCGTATTTGGGTGGCCAGCTGATCACTTCGATGATTAATATTGGGCTTGGTTGGTTCGAAAGGTGCATAGGCAAGGACGGCAATGGCGCGGACGAACGTAGAGGTGGCTAGCGTAACTCAGGAGACGCAGTTCAGATGGTATATGAGGTCGCGCATGGACAAAGCTTGATTGTTGTCGCCGAATCAGAGCAGCTTAAGCATTGCATCGCCTGGTGTGGAGAAAGCGAGCAGCATCGTCGTCGTCTATGACCATACATAGTACGTAGCCAAGGGCAGCTCGGCATTCACCGCGACCTACTCCGAAGCCTACTCAACCCCCAAGGTTAACGTCTTGGACGACGGTTGGCCAACGTTCCGAACCCACACACGATTCCAAAACCTACCCTAATTGCTGCGACACATTTGCGCAAGTGGTATACCCAATGATGCATAACCTCGCCGAGCCGCTCATCATGGGATGCGTCCCCTGACGAACCCAATCGCCAATCCCCGCCCCGGCGCCACCGAGTTGTGCACCCGGTGGAGCTACCCTTACACCCGCAATGCACCCGTCAGGCTCCTTATCGCCGCGCCGGAACCATGTCCATTTGGCGTTTGCGCTGTGAGCCAAAGCTATCCGCGTCAACGTTCGCTCTCTCTTTTCGCCCATCCCCTTGCTATCGCTACCACCCGTGCACTCCTGCTCCGCGAACTGCTCCTTGGTGTAGGAGCGCTCCCGTTGTGATCAAGGATGGCTGTGCGTAAGACATTTCGCAAGATCCGCAATCGCGTCGCGCATAGAGCTGGGCCCGGCAACCCTATGAACGATCCTGCGTCCCCCGCCTCTTCGTCATCAGGCATCGGTGTATCATCCGCCACGGTGGGCCTCTCCATTCCGTGACTATCGATCGGCAACGCATCTGACTGCGGTACGGTACAGAATGCCCCTGTACAACACGAAGGGCCGGCCGTGGGCACTGACATAAACGAGCAGACGAAGGACAACATCATGTCACGAGGGGATCAAAAGGTAAAGGCATACTTATAAGGCGATCTTCGAGATCGGCTGACGTATGGCATGCGCAGGATAATCGATATAGCGTAGTCGCGGGGCCCGTCGGGAAACCATCCTCGGATATGGCCACGGCACAACAAGCTATAGAAGGGGCGAAGGAGGATTTTTCGGCCATGCGTTCCATCGGACTAGCTGAAGGAGGAGCTGCCTCAGCAAAGAACTGGGGGCCGCTGTTTAGCCGTGTCAAGCTGTTCACCGAGCTCGTCGACAGTATCGCCGAGGTAAGTGTTCACGGGTCCGTGCTGCGCGGTTGCGCTCTTATACCTAGCTGGGTATCAGGTCCATCCGTACGCAAAGATAGCTTGGAGCATACTGTCCACCGTGCAGAAGGTGAGCCACCTGCATCGGGCCCGTGCTACCTCCTTTAAAGGCTGGTCTTTCTAGACCGTCATCAGCCAAGTCGAGATCGATCAGTCCGTCCGTGATCTTTTGGACACTATCGAGGCCGTATACGAGTTCATGGATCAGGCTCAGCCCGTGAGCTGCGTCATACCGGCGGCGAAACTCCTCACGGCCCTGGCTCAGCAAACTACCGAGTGCGGCTACTTCATACGTGACTACGCGAAGAACAAGAATTTCGGTACGTTGAAGTTCCACCAGGCCCGCGTCTCGCTTTGACCTCCCGGCAGTAAGGAGGACCGCGTCAAACGCCTTGAAGTCACTCGTTCATCCTGCTGAAGCCGCGCCAAAGCTGGTTAGAGATTATCAGGACAAATTTGCGGAGCTGAAGGAGCAACTCCTCGATGGGTCGACGATCAGGACGGAGATCGCCGTCCAAGAAGTGAATCTTGTCCTCCGCAGGGTATTGAATACGGTCGAGGAGACTGGTAAGGACCGTTGGCTAGTCATCTGCCGCGCTGATCGTTGGCTGCCTCTAGCTGTGGACGTCCAGATGATGCGTTTGTACGACGCCTGCGCGAGGGGCTCTCGGTTCAACAGCGAGAAGAGATGCCTCCCAGGAACCCGTCAAACGATTCTACAGAACATAGTGGACTGGATCAATGATCCGCTCGATCCACGTCGCATGTTCTTGCTCTCCGGTCCGGCAGGATCAGGCAAGTCGGCAATCGCCCACACTATAGCGGCTTTGTTTCACGAGATCCGTTGCTTGGGATCCTCGTATTGCTTTGATAGGTCCAAGGCGGAGCTCACCCGTACTTCTCCCTTCTTCCCCACCATCGCCCGTGACCTCTCCGAGTGGGATCCTGAGATGAAGCTCACGCTATCGAACGCCATCGCTCAAGATTCCGCTCTCGTCACGTCCGACGATGTAGTAGGACAGTTCCGGCGCCTGATTGTAGGCCCCATGAAACAACTCGCGATGTCGGGTCCGATCGTCATCGTGATCGATGCCCTCGACGAATGCGATTCGTCTGCACGCAGCAGCCTTCTGTCGGTTTTACAGAGTCAGAAGGAAGAGGACGTGCTCCCGTCCAATGTTCGAGTCCTCATCACTTGTCGGCCGGAACAAGACATCACGGACGCGCTTCGGCACGCGCCCCATGTTCGCATTCACTCGATGAGTGATGTTCTTGACGCCCCCACCAACGAGGAGGACATCCGATTGTACGCTCGTGATAGATTGTCCACTGTCTTCTCCGCCCCGGAAGACCTCGGGATGATATCCGCCCAGGTGGTCCGCTCAGCGGAAGGACTCTTTCAGTGGGCAGCCACCGCTTGTCGCATTTTAGTCGCAAGGAAGCCGCCGAGGTCCATCCAGCAACGGATAGCAATAGTATTTCCCCCGGCTGGCCAGCGCCCGACGAAGGGGCACCTCGACGAACTGTACCTACAAGTATTAGCATTCACATTTCCTCCCACGGATGCGGATGTGATCGAGAACTTCCGTCGGGTGATGAGCCCCCTCCTTACGGCCATCGAGCCGCTCTCGATCTCATCCTTGCAGGATATCTTATACGGACAAGATCCGGATATAATCAACGAGGTACTCGCGGGCATGGGGTCGCTTTTATCGGGCACGGACGGTTCTGCCAGAGATGCTGTTGTCCGGCCATTACACACCTCGTTTCGGGACTTTATTCTAGATCCTCAACGTAGTCAGGAGTTTGCTATCGGGCCAGGGGTAGACGAGCACCGAGACTTTGCACGGGGGACTCTGGGCTTGCTCCTCAGCAGTCGGCTGCACTTCAACATGTGCAAGCTCGAAACATCCTATCGACTCAACGCGGACATCCCTGGCTTAGGCGAGCGCGTACGCGCGAACATCCCTCCGAGTCTGGTCTATTCCGCCCGCTACTGGGCTGATCATCTCGAGAAGACGGCGTATGACCCTGACCTCCAGGAAATGACGGAACAATTGCTGAAAGAGAAGTTCCTGTTCTGGGTTGAGGTCTTGAGTCTTATAGAGTCGATGGTCACCTGCGCATCGGCACTCGGGAAGCTCAAGGAGTGGATTCCAAAGGCATGTCACTTCTATGTATGTCTACGTCTCACAGCTCACATATTGTTCTACGCCTAGGACGTCGTGGCAGGACTGGAAATGGACTCCATTATCCAGGATTTCCTCAGATTCATCCGAGCATTCGGGATGACGATCGGTGCTTCTGCTCCGCACCTTTACCTCTCAGCCGTACCATTCGCCCCTGCGAGGTCCAGGATATGTCAGCTTTATGAAGCAAGGTTCTCCCGACGAGCCGTTGTCGAGTGCGGCAGATCGGAAGAGTGGCCAGCGCTCGAATGCACCATGGAGGGTCATGACGACAGGGTCCTCTGTGCCGATTTTTTGACCAACAGAAAAGATGTTGTCTCCGTATCGTGGTGCAGCGGGGGGTGCACTATACACGTCTGGAATGCTGAGACTGGACAGCCGACTCGACGACCTGTGCATTGTGATGCAGGTGATAGTGAGGTAGTCTGTGCCGCGTTATCCTCAGGGAAAGACCTCGCAGTTGTGGGGCTCGAAGGCGGCACAATCCTTGTTTATGAGGTCACCACAGGACAGACCATACGCACGTTCAAAGGGCATACAGACTACGTTTCATCGGTTGCTTTCTCTCCCGATGGCAAGCGTGTCGTATCGGGTTCAGACGACGAGACAGTGTGCATTTGGGATGTGCAGTCTGAGCAACTTGTCCATCCACCGCTTCAGGGACACACCAATCATGTCACCTCCGTGGCTTTCTCGCCTGACTCCCATTGGGTGGCCTCAGGTTCGTTGGACGGGACAATCTGCTTATGGAATACTACAACCGGGCAGCTTGTGTGCGAGCCATTGCGCGGCCATTCAAATGCGGTGTTCTCTGTCATGTTCTCGCACGATGGCGAGTGCATCGTTTCCGGCTCGTATGACGAGACCGTTCGCTTGTGGGATACCACGTCAGGCCAGTCTCTTGGTTCCCCTTTTGAGGGACCTTCCCGCTGCGTCATATGTGTGGCAATATCTCCCGACAAGAGGTTCATTGCATCGGGTTCTTCGGTCGGGGTCATTCATCTCTGGGATGCGACAGAACGTACTCTGTGTGCAACTTTCCGTGGTCACGTCGAAAAGTTGACATCATTAGCCTTCTCAAAAGACGGCCAACACATCGTTTCTGGATCTGTGGACCGGACTGTAAGGGTGTGGGATGTGTCAGGTCGACGCACTGATATGGGTATCGCTGGAAGTCACCCTGAGTGGCTTGGCGAGATGGCTGTTTCACTAGATGGAAAGTCTATCGTCACCTGGTGTAACGAGGATATCACTGTGTGGGATGTTTCCACGGGGACTGCTGCTGTTCAAGGCCGGCGATGGCGGGGGCACGAAAGACAGATATTCTACATGGGGTTCTTCCCCGATGGATGTCGTGTCTTATCGTGCTCGTACGACGATACTGTTCGGATGTGGGAAGTCTCCACCGGACAACTGATCCACCAATTCCGAGTTCCAAACGAGGAAGACATGAGTGTTATTGGCTGGTGCTGCGCAGTCATATCTCCTGATGGGCGGTTCGTCGCAATGGCAAGATCAGAACAAATACGAATATGGGACATCTCCACCGGGACACTGGTGCATACTCTCCAAGGTCATACTGGCGAAACCTGCGCCCTAGCTTTCTCTCCAGACGGGCAGCACATGGCATCGGGCGCGGTTGACGGCACTTTACGTCTGTGGGACTTTGCAACAGGCCAACCCGCTGGTGCACCACTGGAGGGACACGCCCGTTCAGTAAACATTGCCTTCGCGCCCGATGGCGCTTACCTCGTGTCCGGTGACTCCGACGGCGTCATTCGGATCTGGGACACCGCCACGGGACAGACCATCTGCGATCCTTGGCGCGGCCATGACAGTTGGATACGCTCTGTCGTTTTCGCGCCCAATGGTCGATGCGTGGTCTCGGGCGGATTCAATTGTGCAGTTCGCGTTTGGGACGCGTTCACTGGAAGGCCGTTCCGCGAGCCGTTTCTGGGACACACAGACTCCGTCAGTCATGTGGCCTTTTCGTCGGAGGGAAAATGCATCATATCATGCTCTCGCGACCATACCATCCGCTTCTGGGATGCCTCTACGAAGTGCCCTGAGTCTGACGAGGGACCGGAAGGTGCGTACTTTACATGGCACTTGATCTCACTAACGGTCCCATCTGGTAGATGATCACGCTGTCCTACGACGACCGCATCCTGTCTCATTCTCGCCAAACAGAAGTCACGCTCTCGCCGACATCCAGCTCATAGTACCTGACGCTGAGGAGATGTCATGGTTCCAGGTTGACGATTCATTCACGCTGCAGGGCGACGGCTGGCTTATGGGATCTGATAAACGGCGCCTACTCTGGATTCCGATTCAGAACCGCAAGCTGCTGTGGAGGTCGCAGAACAGGCGGCTCGTGATATCTCCAGAGGAGGTCACCACGCTTAATCTGAGCAACTTTGCTCATGGCGAGAAGTGGGCCGAATGCTTCAAGCAGGAAGCAGCATGAGCTTGCGCACGATTAGCTCAAAATGGCTCGGTGGGAGGGCAGTGTAACAGGAGTCACTGGTCTTGGCACGTTACGTTCTGGACCACGCCGCCTCTGAGGCTACCTTCAAGCCTACGTCCCCGTCAATCCCAGTCAATCAACGAGAACGAGCCGAAGATCGTAGTTGTTGACATATCCACGAAGCAATCGGTGCGAGACTTGCAATCCGGACATTTTATCGCGGAAGACTACGTTGCGCCCTCCATTCTGACGTCTTCCCTCGCATGTAAACAGCATATCTCGTGTGAGGCATAGTCACAAGACGCGTGGTCTGCCATCGTCTTTCCTTGGGCCGTGACGTGATTCCATGTTGTCGCGCCGAGTATACGTAGGGAATTTTTCAAGTCTTAGGATCGGTACATGTCATCAGTACAAATCTAGTACAAAAGAGAAGTTTGTTCACGCTGCAACGTCAGAAGCCACGAAAAGGCAAGCATCCTGTCGATATGCTCACTTTTTGTTATGTACACGGAATCGTATGTCCTGTCGGGTACATCATTCACCCTGTTGACCGCGTCGTAAGTTCCGAGCCACGTTCAGTTGCGATATTCATCCTTGACTCCCGAAGGCGCGCGTCGGTCGAGGTTATTAAGCACGTTCGCACTCCAACCATACGGTGTCCAAAATTGATTTACATTCAGGCGCGATGTATATTCCTGACGAACCTTATCGTAACAGACACCCGGAGCAAATATATCCGGTGTCAACACGGGAGCGAAATCCTGCCCACGCACACGTACTCGCCCTCCGGCCCCTGACTCCCCATCTCGCAGATCTGCACCTCGTCCACGGTCCAGGTGCCGAGGTCGACTTCGACCGGGCCCTTCTGTTTCGTCCGTTCCTGGTTTGAGGTTCGAACGACTGCCGGAGCTGTGTCAGTGGCGGCGGCGGAAACGGGTCCTGCGGCAGTGGCGGGGGCGATTTGGCCGAAGGCGGGAGAAGCGAGGACGGAAGGGTAGGAGAACGGCAGGCGCTGCCCGCGCGAAGGGCGCGGCTTGCGGTAGACCGTGTTGATCAGCGTGCAGTGGAGCTAGCGGTCAGAAATCAATTGAGTCGTCGGTCAAACGTCTCGGTCGAACCATGAGCCGCACGACTGCGGCCGGACGTCTGGATTCGGGGAAGGAGGGAAAGTCACCTTGAGAGGCCGGTGTTCGTCGACGACCAGTCCCGCGCGACGAAACTCGCTATTGATGAGGCCTGTGATAGGTGGCACGATAAGCTTCAGGCAGAGGATGTAACCACGGGGAATGGCAGCTCACGGCTCACGCGTTCGAGGCGCGCGTACTCCTCGTCCAGCGTGCCTTCGGCAGGCCGCGCAGGTCCGGCCCAAAGGACGTGTGCTCGCTCGGGATTACCCCGCTCGGGTTTCATGATGTCCATCGAGGTTAAGGGCACCTGCACCAGAAATAGTATCGGTGACCTTGAGACGCAGGAGGAAGATAGGGCGAATACTGACGCGGAGAGGGCTTCCGTGGAGCTCGCGCAGGATCTGGGGCCGAAGGACTCGCAGGAACGCGCAGGCGTCGTACAGCGTCTTTTGCGGGGGCGTGTCTGAGGACGTGCCGGTGCCGGTGCCGGTGCCGGCGAGGCTCATCACGCCCAGTGTGAGGTGCAGGCGGCGCGGGTTGACGAGCACCGACTCGTGTAGACCTGCGATAGGCGGGTCGGTCGCCATCAGCGCGGCGTGGAACGCGTTGATTCGCGTTCGAAGCGCGGGATGGTGTCCCTGCGGCGAGTCAAAACGCAGACGTGTCAATTCGGTGACGACACGTTCGCCAAAGCAGAAAAGAAACAGAGGAGTTCGAGAAACGGGGAAGGCGCAAGGAGACATCGCTGGGTGCATCTCAACGCACAATCGGGAGAGCGAGAACTGCACGGGGTCGTTGTGAGCCATCATCACTAGCAGATGGGATACTAGAGGCGCGGCTCACAGTGCGTCAAACGAGGCTTGGGTGCCGGCCTCATCTGGCTCGGTGTAGCGAGGATTGGTGCTCCTGCTTGATTCTGCGATACCGAGGATTCGTTTTCACCGCGTTGACCTCGACCGCGCCCTCGTCCACGGCCTCGGCCCCGTCCCCGTCCCCGTCCCCGTCCCCGTCCTCGACCACGAACGTCCGATACCACGAGTGAGTCCGGTTGCGTTGCCTGCGGAAGGCTCATCGGCTGCACCGAAGAAGTTGGGCGTGCAGCAAGCCTAAAGGCCTAACCAGTTATCGACACTACGAGCTGGCTTGAAGGAGGCAACGGATGTTGCTGCGTATACGAACTCAGGATGACGTAGCGCGCACGGTCGCGCTCGTCGGACATTGCCGAGCAATCGACACATTCTTGGGTCCTTACTCGACACGAACTCGTTACAAACAGTGCTATCGCAGCCCCACCGAAGGGAACGCTGGAGGACCTTACGAAAGAGATCGTGTCTCCTCCAGTCTCGTTGGGAATTACCGAGACCGTTTGCTGACGGACGACGCTTGTTAACTGTCCTCTGGATTGCTTCAGCCTACTTTCCGCAATAGCTTTGGGCGCGAACTAAGATTTCTCATCTCTGATACCCCCACTCCATATATAACCATCACTGTACTACACGCTTGCCTTCCATCTGATACGATCCACCCGGCGGTCTCGTAGTCGACAGGTTACGCTGCAGGAAGAGCGGGTATACTGAGGATAGACGAGGCGGAGATGCGCGCGGTATACTTACAGCTGATCAAGGCCGAGGATTCCAGGGAGAATACGAAGTGCTTGCGGCAAGCGGGAGCGATGTTACCATTTCTGGGCCAAGACCTGTGCTTGCTCGCTGCGACCGGCAGAGCCTCGAATGGTGTTGATGGAAACACGTAAAGGGGTCTTATAAAGGAGAAAACTCGATGAAAAGCATATGTCCTCCGCACCCCCTTTGCTATGGCTGGCTCCAAGTATTCGACGAGGTTACGGGCAGTGAGCATGTTCTGCGAGACCCTGCTACACGGTACATCTAGCGCGCTCATCACTCATCGCTGGTATTGACTCGTCATCGTAGGTATTTATGTTGCATTGTTGGTCTTGACGGTCAACATTCTGTGCGCAACAAATTCTCTACCCGGAATTCTATGCTTACCTCGTCTTGAAGAATCAAGAGGAAGACGCGAGCAAGCAGAGTCATGATCATCATCGCCATTGTGATGTATGGATTCGCTGCAGGCCATCTCGCCATCACGCTCTTTCAACTCCTGGAGGCGATTACACTGGCTCAACGTGTCGAAGACCCCTGGCTACCTGCGAATACGGCTCAAACATTCATCGAAGGAGTCAATGCGAGTACCAATTATGCTTTGCTCGTTCTGCTGTTGACAGCCTGACACAGTATGTCCTCGGAGATTTCGTAGTCATCTGGCGAGTATGGGCGGTGTGGGGACGCGACTGGCGTGCGTGCGTTGCGCCGTCCGTGCTGCTCTTCGGCTCACTGGGTGAGACCGAGATCGTTTATACACGCGACGCTTGACCAATCTAGAAAACTTGGGATATTCAGTTGTCGTTTTAGGAGGCGCACATCAACAGTCGATAACGCCCGCTGGGGGGTTCACGGTGAATCCCGAGGTTGGGGAATGGGCAACGGCTTTCGCCGTGCTTACTCTCGCCACGAATACGTGTTGTACTATCCTAATCGGGATACGAGCATGGTACTCCGCTCGTACTGGTCATCAGCTCTGCATCTGATTTCCAACCAGGTCACTGTCGCGGATATCTGGAGCAGTGCCATTGAAGACACGCGCAATGAGCTCTCGGATTCTTCTTCTATTGGTGGAGACTGGTGCTCTCTACAGCGCGACGTGGGTGAGAAGCCGACCTGGAACGTATTGTTACCTCCCTGCTCATCTCTTCTGGATTCACTAGATTGTAGTCCTCTCCCTATTTGGGTCCGGATCGCTGGCGTACGAAGTCCTGACCAGCTGCTTACCTCAACTGGCCGTGAGCACTTTTCCGCATTGCGCTCTACATATCACCAACCAAAGCGACTCACCTACAGGCCATTTACCCTACTCTGCTCCTATTTGTGGTCCATCGCGTATACAGCGATCCCTGCTCCGGTCCAGTGGATTCAGCAACCCTCCTGCCGCCGTCCTTGAAGCTACCTTCCGGCCCCGAACCACGTCATTCGCAATTCATCGATGACAACGATCTGAAGACTGTAGTGATAGATATCTCTGCCGCACGATCTGTGGGCTTGGAATCAGGGAGCTTAACCCTAGAAGAATATGTTATGCCCTCCCTGCTATGCGACCCCTCTCGCGCTCTGGCATGACCACGACACACTCGATGTACGGCCAATGACAAGGCCAGCGTCAGGAGTACACGTATGTGCGCCCATTCAGCGTTGATTGACAAGCACAGGGCTAAAGCGGCGTTTAAGAGCGGGCTTGCGATCAGACGGGCCGATGCAAGTGACTCGCATATATGCGAGCACTAGCGGAAGGACGAGGTGGGTACATTGGAAGACGCAAGAATGTCAACATGCCCATTGCCCGGTAGGTCACGTACGAACGTGATGTACAACAAGTATTCGACATAATCAGTGAGAACAAGCAACATCGATCCAGAGAACCTTGATATATACCACACCGGTGTTCCCAAAAAGACCACCCCTGTCCATCGTGAACGTGTGTCAACCAAGGTTGTGAAGCACGGCAGCGGCACTAAACCTTGAACCTGATGATATGACTGCCCTCCCACTGAACAAGATTCGGTTCACCCTGCGCCTGCTCATGCTGCATCCTGCCTGAAGCATTCGGCCCACTTCTCGCCATGAGCAAAGTTGCTCAGATTAAGCGTGGTTACCTCCTCTGGAGATATCACGAGCCGCCTGTTCTGCGTCCTCCACAGCAGCTTGCGGTTCTGAATCGGAATCCAGAGTAGGCGCCGTTTATCAGATCCCATAAGCCAGCCGTCGCCCTGCAGCGTGAATGAATCGTCAAGTTGGAACCATGACATCTCCTCAGCGTCAGGTACTATGAGCTGGATGTCGGCGAGAGCGTGACTTCTGTTTGGCGAGAACGAGACAGAATGAGGTTGAGGTAGGACAGCGCGATCATCTACCAGATGGGGCCGTCAGTGAGATCCAGTGGCATGGAAAGGTGACGCACCCTCTAGTCCCTCGTCAGACTCAGAGCACTCCGTAGAGGCGTCCCAGAACCGGATCGTGCAGTCCCAGCTGCATGATATGACATGTTTTCCGTCGCGTGAAAATGCAACACCGGTGACATAGTGTGTGTGACCCTGAAACGGCTCGCGGAACGGCCTTCCAGTGAACGCGTCCCAAACGCGAACTGTACGATCGACCCCGCCCGAGACCACGCATCGACCATTGGGCGAGAAAACGACAGAGCGTATCCAACCATCATGGCCGCGCCAAGGATCGCAGATGGCCTGTCCTGTGGCAGTGTCCCAGATGCGGATTTCCCCCTCTCTGTCACAGGACACGAGAGAAGCGCCATCTCGCGAAAAGGCAACGGAGAATACAAAACTGGTATGTCCCTCAAGTGATGCGCATGCCGGCCTGGGTTGGCCTGTTTCGAGGTCCCACAGACGTATAGTTTGGTCAAATTCGCTTGATGCGATGCACTTCCCGTCTGGAGAGAATTTTAGGGCCATGGCGCGAGTATGACCCTGGAGAGTATGCACACGTGTCTCAGTCGCGACGTCCATTATCCATATCGGGCCGTCCATTGCCATTGCAATGAACCGCCCGTCCTGAGAGATGGCTGCGGGGTAACAGGTAAAGTCACCCTCGTCATCCCCAGTTGAAAATCGGAATGCGCGGATGAGTTGTCCGGTGGAGACTTCCCACATCCGAACAGTGCGGTCGTACGAGCACGATAAGACACGCCGTCCATCGGGGGAAAACTCCATGCAGAGCATCCCTTCGTGCCCTTGCAAGCGCTGGCTTTGAACGGCAGCAGTGCCCGTCGAGACATCCCACACACAAACGTCTGTACATGTGTCAATCCATGTGACGATAGACTTTCCGTCGGGTGACATAGCCATGTCGCCAAGCCTCTCGGAGTGTCTTCCAGCGATACTCATATCAGCGCGTCGACCTGACACATCCCACACCCTTACAGTCCGATCCACTGATCCAGAAACGATGTGCTGGCCGTCTTTTGAGAAGGCTAACGATGTCAACTTTTGGACGTGACCACGGAAAGTTGCACAAAGACAATGTTCTGTCGTGTTCCAGAGATGAATAAGCCCGAACGAAGAACCCGATGCAATGAATCTCTTGTCGGGAGAGATTGCCACACATATGACACCGTCAGTATGGCCCTCCAAAGGGGAACCAAGAGGCTGCCCTGAGGTATCCCATAAGCGAACGGTCTTGTCATCCGAACCGGAAGCAATCCACTCGCTGTCGTGCGAGAACACGACAGAGTTCACCGTATTTGAATGGCCGCGCAACGGCTCGCACACAAGCTGTCCGGTTTCCGTATTCCATAGGCAAATCGTCCTGTCCTCCGAACCTGAAGCCACGCACTTGGAGTCAGGCGAGAAAGCCACAGAGGTGACCTTATCCGTGTGTCGCTGAAGCGGTAGATGGACAAGTTGCTCAGACGGCACATCCCAAATGCACACTTTCTGGTCATCCGAGCCCGACACGACACGTTTGCCGTCGGTAGAGAAAGCAACCGATCGAACCTGTTTCGTATGCCCTCTGAGCGTGTGAATGGTCTGTCCTTTGGTGGAAGAATAAACAAGGATCATGCCGTGGTTCATCCCCGCTGCTACCAAGTCTTTCTCCGAGGAGAACGCGGCACAGGAGGCCCAACTACCACCTGCATCACAGTGTACAGGTCGGCGAGTCGGCTGTCCGGTCTCAGCATTCCAAACGCGTGTCGTGAACCCCTTGTAAGAGTACGACACGGAGACATCTTTGCCATTCCTCGAGAACTCAGCACAGAGGACCCTGTCGTCATGACCCTCCATGGTGCATTCCAGAGCAGGCCACTCTTCTGATCGGCCGCACTCGACGATGGCTCGTCGGGAGAACCTCGCCTCATAAAGCTGGCATATCTTGGAACTCGCGGGGGCGAATGCTAAGGCTGAGAGGTAAAGGTGCGGAGCAGAAGCTCCGATCGTCATCCCGAATGCTCGGATGAATCTGAGGAAATCCTTGATAATAGAGCCCATTTCCAGTTCTGCCACGACGTCCTATGCGTAGAACAATATGTGAGCTGTGAGACGTCGACATACATAGAAGTGACATGCCTTTGGAATCCACTCCTTGAGTATCCCGAGTGCCGATGCGCAGGTGACCATCGACTCTATAAGACTCAAGACCTCAACCCAGAACAGGAACTTATTTTTCAGAAATTGTTCCGTCATTTCCTGTAGGTCAGGGTCATACGCGATCTTCTCGAGATGATCAGCCCAGTAGCGGGCGGAATAGACCAGACTCGGAGGGATGTTCGCGCGTACGCGCTCGCCTAAGCCAGGGATGTCCGCGTTGAGTCGATAGGATGTTTTGAGCTTGCACATGTTGAAGTGCAGCCGTTTGCCAAGAAGAATGCGCAAAGTCCCGCGTGCAAATGCTTCATGCTCTTCCTTTCCCGGCTCAACGCAAAACTTCCCGCTGCGTTTACGATCTAGAACGAAATCCAGAAACGACGAGTGGTAGGGGCGGACGACTTCCTCAGTGTTGTTGCTGCCAGAAAGGAGTGATGCCATGCATTCGACCACCCTCTTGACTATTTCACGATGATCCGAGTCGTCTTGCCTGTATAAGATGTCCTGCAAATCAGAGACCGACAGTGGCTCCCTCGGCACCAGGATCAGGCGCATCACCGTCTGGTAGTTCTTCAGATTGGTGTCGTTGCCTTGCTCAGATAGGATTCCGAACCGCAGGACTTGCATGTAAAGGCGGTCTAATTGACCTTCCCCTTCACGAGAGGGTTTTATTGTCTCCATGCGTTGTTTGATCGACTGTGTCCCAGTGCTCGAGGCTATGAAACGGAAAGCAGTCGCCGCCCACTGGAATATTCCTTCAGCCCATTGGACAATCCTATCACATATCGACTCGAAGTCTTGCAGTTCTGCGTGGGACTGGGATAGCTTGTCATGAACGTATAATCGTAAGTCCTTCGCATTGTCGGGGTTCTTCAAGATACGAGTCATGGATTCATGACGGACATTGGATCCGAGGGTGGCCATAATGCTCGGCTGGAACCTGCAAGTCACCAGGATGCGGAAATTGGCAGGAAGGCCCCCCTCTTCCTCTTTGGTCGACAATATAGATAAAAGAAGGCGATGCGCGGACTGTTCAAACTTTTCCACAGACTCTTTGCATTCATCCAGGGCATCAACGACAATCACTATCGGGCCGGGAATGGTGAGCTTCTTCGCGGGCTCTGCGATGAGACACCGAAATTGTTCGGCCAAGTCATCAGAAGTGAGGAGGGCGGAATTGCGGGCGACAACATCGGCGAGGACGGTTTTCATTAGGGGGAAACGCTGGGACAAGTCACGGGCGATGGTAGGGAATAAGAACTGTGCGTTTGTGAGCATGTCCTTGTTCCGGTCAAAGAAATAGCAGGACCCTAAATGCTGGTTTTTGTCGAAAATAGATGCTATGGTGTGAGCGATGGCGGACTTGCCCACCCCTGCGGGTCCAGAGAGTACTAGCGCGCGGCGACTATCGTCCTGATCGTGAATCCAATCGAGTATGATCCGCAGAATCGTTTCGCGGGTTCTGGGGAGGCATTTCTTCTCGCTGTTGTACCAGTATCCCTTGGCACAGGCCTCTTCCAACAGCCCCATCCGGACGTTATCCGCTGAAGTCAATCAAAGGTCAGAGTACTGGACGACATACTAACGCACTCCATACCGATATCTTTGACGGCATTCCAGATCCTGTTGACGGTGATCTCCGTCCTAATTGTCGCATGATCCAAGAGCTTCGACCTTAGCTTCTTCAAATTGCATCGGTAATCTTTAACCAACTCAGGCACCGCCTCGTCAGATTTGAAGACCTTCTTGTAGACGTTTGACGCCATTCGCGTTGCTGTCGGTAGGAGGTTAGAAGGATGATAACGCCCAATGGTTACTGAACACACCGAAATCCTTGTCCTTCGCGTAGTCTCGTATGAAGTAGCCGCATTCCGTCGTCTGCTGGGCCAACGCCACGAGAACATCCCTCGCAGATAGGACGTCGTTCAATGGACCCGCCTCTTCCACGAATTCATACACGTCCTGAATAGTGTCCAAGAGATCATAGATGGATCGGTCAAGCTCCACCTGGCCGATGACAGTCTACAATACCAATATTTGAAGGGATTAAAGAGGGCCGATGTGGATCACTCACCTTCTGCACGATGGACAGAATGCTCCAAGCCATCTCTGCGTAGGGATGAACCTAATGCCACAGTCAGGACAAGAGCGAAACTCAAAGAAAGAAGTCGTGAATGCTCGCCTCGACGAGTTTGTCGACGAGCTCGGTAAACTTCTTGACGCGGCTTAACATCGGCCCCCATGATTTTGCCGTCGAGACCAGTCCCTGGGCAAGGTCTTTCTTTTGGTCGACTACAGCAACGCCTCTTTCCGCCAGTGAGCTGGGATTCATGGCCGAGATCCCCTCCTTCGCAGCTTTCAAGGCGGTGGCCATCTCCGAGGATGCTGGTACCATGTCTTTATTATCCTGTGCATGCTATACGTCAGCCAAGTCAATGAGCATCGTAGAAACGTGTCTTTACCTTCTGTGCCCTTTGCGACGTGCTGTCGTCCTTGGTCTGTTCATTTCTGCCGGTGGCCACAGCCGGTTTTTCGGGTTGCGCAGAGGTGGGCTACATTGAAACTATCGTCAGATGCGACGCCAAGCAATGGCCACGGCTTGAGAGGGCTCACCGTGGAAAATGATGCCTCGATGCCCGATGACGAAGAGGCGCGAGGCGCAGAATCGATTGGAGGGTTGCGGCGGCGAGCTTTGCGTGTGATGCGATCGCGTATCTTGCGAAGTTTCTTGCACAAACGCAAACGCATCGTTGATCACCGCGGGAGTCCTGTTAGATCAGAGCAGTTGACGGAGAGCGCGCGCGCGAGAGAGAGAGAGGGAGAGAGAGAGAGAGCAGACGTTGACGCGAATAGCTTCGGCTCGCGAGAATCGAATGGACATCACATGGTTTGGGCGTGGCGATAAGGACCCTGACGGTTGCAGGGCGGGTGCAAGGATAGCCCCACCGGGTGCATAAATCCGTGGCGCCAGTGCGGAGATTGGATGCGATTGGGTTCGTCAGGGTTCAGGACGAAGTTCGCGCAAAGAAATACACGGCAGGAACATGGGACATCCAGGGCATCCGCAGTGATCAGCTTTGCATGTTGATTACGGTCTCTCCCAGCAGCGCGGCCTGGTTTGGTCGAAGGCGGTCAATCGACGGTTCGCAGTGTCGTTTCAGCAGGGACACACGATCATATCGCACTCGGAAGGCGTGGCACATTGGCTGACGATAGCATTGACGCTCGTGCGCATGAGTAGGCATCGGCACGCGTACGCGCAGACAGAAGGCGAATAGGCCGAGACGGATCCCGAGCACATTTCAAGAGTATGCCGCGGAGTTCAAGATACAGGTCGTTTTAGACGTGAATCGACAATGATATTAGACGCTGAGACGGTCGAGGCGATAGAGTACCAGTGGGCGTGGATTGCCACAGCCGCACGCAGATTGACGCTCGTCGGCGCAATTCGGCCTACGACCTTCTCAGAGGACGGCAACGTTGGTGGTGGAGCGACGTGTGCGCATCCTTCTGCTTCGCGCTGTGTTCTCAAACGCAATCCATGCGCCATGCGCATCCAGGGCTGTCAAGTGCCGTGATAGAAGATCGGTAAATTGCCGCACCCGATGGACGAAGCCATATCACCGACATGCCATCGAAGGTAGTCATGGACGACTGGCATTCTACCTGTGCCCGAGCCTCAACTCCCTTTGGACCACACCCGTGCCTGCAGGTGATACATCTACGTACGCCATGTCTTCTATACACAGAACCCAATCCCAGTCCTACCCTCCCCCGCCGTCTCGGAAATTGCCTTCACGAGCCCGACCCTGCCCATTGCAGTCGCCCAATCAACGTATTCTGGATGCCGTCGTGATAGACATCACGGCGGTGCTGGAAGCCGGAACGTCCAGTGCGAAAGAGTAGGCTGAGGTTTCCCTGGGTAACGACTTACCACAACACATCCGTACTGAAGCTCAGTTCCGTGGCCGCCTTGAGAAGATGTCTCGTCTTTTCTCGGACGGCCCTTCGCTGTATGCATGTACCACGATCTAGTAGGTGGGGCAATGTCAAAGCGGTGACCGCCACCAGTCATCACGATCGTTCCTCAGTCCATGAGTAGTCGAGTGATCCTTGATGAATTTCGTGAAGCACTACGGAATGCAGGTGCCGCTATTATTGTATGATAGCCAACATAGCAGAGGGACCATCGAGAATATGGTAGAGATCCAAGCAAGCATGTAGCTGAGTGCTGATGACCGCCCGGTCCCTACACGGTCTTCACGGCTCTACGTCCGAGGGTCCCATCGTCGCGCAGCATGCTCTGCGAGATCGCTATCAACATCATCCGCCATCAATACGGGCGCACCATGTCCAAGCACGTACCTCGTCCACATAGTACCCATCGGACTTCTGCGGGCGCTCATAGTCGGACACGACCTGCGTCTCCACGCCTGTCCAGCAGAAATCGAGTTCAGCGCGGGAGACGGTGGAGGGGAAAAGACGCACGGATCTGGCCGAGGTCGATCGCGGCGTTGCCGGGGGTAAAGCTCGGACCGCCGCTGGCGCCGCTCGTACCGCTCCGGCTCGTCGCCGCGCGGCGGATCGAGGCGCGCGTGTTGAGGTTGTAGAGCATCGTCAGGGCGTAGACGCGACCGAAGCACGAGTTGAGGCCGACGGCGACTGTGCGCGAGTTTCTCAGATATTAGATAACGGGAGAGTGGGTGGGTGTGGGGAGGTCGGGCACGCACTGCTTCCCTGAGGGTTTTGGAGGAAGAAGGCGAGGATGAGCAGTGCGAAGACGCTCGTGACGCAGCCGGTGCGGATGGCCATGCTGGTGAGACGGGAGAGCATGCTGCGGACGGATATAGAGATGAGCGAAGTTTTGGAGCACGGTTGATGGGCGAGAAGACGGACGTTTGCGTCGTCTTGAACGAGGTCCGGACTCGTCGGAATTGCCAGACGAGGCTAAGGGTGATAGAGACGTCGCAGGCCGTGGACGATACTGAGACGAATGTTCGATGAATATGATGTATGTCGTCTTGTGAGACGTGGTTCGCGCACCGAACCATATACTGTAATAGGCGGATGGGTCAGGGCGAATGGGTATGTTAAATGGAAGCTGCACGTACGTTACGGGAGTAACAAGCTGGGCACGTTGACTGAGATGCGGGGCCTTGACTAGGATCGCGGAGGTATAGATGCCTCCAACCCACTGATAAGTATGGACGTTGTCAGGGGGAGATCCGGAGCTGGACGACGAGGAAGGCCTCACCGCGGTTACGCTCATGGCAGCAAGGACGAGGGTGATGACATTGTTCCGCGAGCTGAAGATGCGCCATGTTAGCTCACGCGGAAGAGAGGAGGAGTCGCGTGAAGGACGCCGTGTACTTGGACGCACAGGTTCCGGAAGCGGTGCAGAAGGAATAATTGGACGATCAAGGCCGAGCACGCGGTCGCGGTGCAGTACGTCGGGAAGGTCCAGTATTGCCTCGAGATGGCTTCCAGATTTCCTGCTCGCGCGAAGAAGTTGAGGGCCCGGTGAAACCGGAGAAATGCGGAACGTACCCCAATACGTGATTAAATACTGTGATCATGAAGGAGTCAGCGCGACTTGCTGATGGAATCGGAGATGAAACTCCATACCAGGTACGCCGTGCCGTTCCCCGCGGCAGCACCGACGGTGTCCACGAGAAAAAGCAGCCACAGCGTCGCCTTCAGGAAGGAGTGGTCGTTTGGGAAGCGCTTGAAGCAGATGTACATCTAAAGGTAAGACGAACATGAGAGAATCGGACGGGTATGGACGGGGTCGAGTACCTGTGTGATCTCCCACATGTATAACATGCAGTCGACCCAGGTTCCGATGAGGATCGCTCTGCACGACAATTGATGAGATGACGATGGAGAGAGCAAGCTAGACATTCGCGGATGCGACACGTACCCGAGGGACGCGTCGAACTGGCCCATGACGAGGACTCTATATCCAGGTAACAAGAAACAGATGAAAGAGGGAAAGAGAGGAACGCCAAAAACGGAGTGGGTCGGGACCGCTGCATATGTACCTGCGAGGCAGGGGCAGCACCGAAACGAAGCAACCAAAAGAAGCCGGACGGAGAACTCCAGATCAGTCGGGCGCCCGTTCGCGAACCCTCCGCGTCCAGGCGCATATCGAGAGTAGTGATGGCCGCTTTATGTACGCCGTCGTATGGTCGCGGCGGCTAGGCTGATCAGAACTTTTTGTGGGCCATCGACGCTGGTGGGCTCGACATCGGGGTGAATCCTGATCGCAGCTCCAGCTACGCGAAAAAGATGACCCTGGTTGCCAGTTGAAGAGCGGTTCAAGATCCCATGGCCGGTGTCGACGCCCGCCCTAGCGCCGCTGGCGGCGTTTCTGCCCCGCGAGACGGCGCGCTTAACCTCTCCTCGCATTGGTGCGCTCGTCGATGCCTGACGATCACTCCGTACCCCGTTGAAGTTATAAATAGCGATAAACGTTCGGTGGTCGTCTGGGCCATGTCTTGGCGCTCCCAGGAGATATCATCGTCGAGGGCAAGTTGAGGAGTCAGCTCCTGTCGTCTTTGCTAGCCATATGTGCTACGAAGTTCTCGTTCATGTCCATAGATGCTCTCGAGGGCAGTACCTGCCATGAGGTCATGAATCGTATCGTGTTGAGCTTGACTGCAGATGGAGCAAAGTGAACGTGTGTGGTGCTACTCAGAGTTTGCCGGCATCCTCGTCAGGTCTAGCAGCAGGGGTATCAGAGAGATTGTGAGACGCAATGAACCTTCTTGCGGTTCAGTTTGCCCCAACCGTACCACGTTCAGCATTCGGTCTAGTGGTCGTAAGTACGGTGTACCGGATGATGGTCGACAGGAAGGGAATTTAGGGGGATCTAATCTACGGACAACGTTATCTCATACGGACGCGATAGCGCGTCGCATTCCTCCGCTCCTCCTTTTCTCACGGGCCAAGGCCATCTCTGGCGATCAGTTCATCCGCCCTCGGACGGCATTTGACCGACGACTCCTTTGCTTTTACATACGACGCTTTCCATCCCGATCTCTGCATCCTACCTCTCATCACTGGTGTAGTTACCTCTTCGCTTGGCTGAAGACGGGCACTGTAACGCACAACATCACGACGACAATATAGAAGAGGTCGAAGCTAGAAAACCATCGCCCTAACCGACTCTCCCTGCGGAGCTGTCTCCACCTCACAACGAGACCACAGCAGCACTAGCGCAAACTCAATATCTGCACTAACTCACGCGGAAGCAAAAAAAAGAAGTCATCGCCATCTCGGACAGACGCGGACTTGTGCGGAGAGAGGACCCACTGAGGAGTCGAATAGGTACGCACGTTCGTCCCTCCTCCCTGCGCCTCGTCGTCATCTCGCCCTAGCTGCCCCGCCCCGGCCTCTTCTTTCTTCACACGCCGTGCTGTGTCCGGCGTTACGCTGCGATGCTTCGCTAGCTCTGACTTTGGCGGGGGTGGTGCATATGCATATATACGTACTTGCTCGCGCGCCCATGGAGCGAGTGCATATTCTTCGCTCTCTTTGCCCTTCTTATTTCTCTGCGTCAGCAAGTCACTGCAGGCACATACAGTCGTCCCTCAGCTCTTTCCAACCCCACGCGAACGAGAGGGACAACAAACTAACTCGTTTTTCACAACGACCCATAGATCCGTCGCCTCCCTGCGACCTTCAATAACATCAATCTACACCAAAATGGTTTCCACCAAACCGATAGAGTCGCACGAAATGACCCCCACGCAATCTGAAGGTTCGTCCTCCCTCTCTCCATTCCTCCCTCCAAGCTTCGAAAGTAACCTTGTGTTGCCTGGACTCGTCAGAATCCGCGCCCACCGCCGTGCCGCACTCGCGCTTGGAAGAGTACGAGCGCGACTCGAACAGCCGGCCGCCCTACATCCTCACCCGCACCGAGCTCAAGCTTCTCGGGATTGCCGGCGTAAGTCACTCTTCTATCCCCTCCTTCCCCTCTCCTTCCCCCCCTCTCCCACGTCCTTCTCGCAGGATGCTGACAAAGGCAATTCGGATCTATAGGTCGGCTTTTTCCTGGACGCCTACGACCTCTTCATCATCAACCCGGTCTCGACCATGCTCCAGTTTCGGCTCTACGGAGGCGAAGCGATCCCCGCCGGCCTCCAAGGTGTGCTCAAAGCCTCGGCCAACATCGGCTCCGTCATCGGCCAATTCGCGTTCGGCTACCTCGCCGACGCGCTCGGACGCAAAGCCATCTGTCCGTATCACATACATGCTCGACGGGAACAAAAATCTGACGAATTCGGGGTGTTATCACAGACGGCAAAGAGCTGATGCTGATCATCTTCGCGACGATCATGTCGCTCACCGTGCCCACGGGCCAGATCTCGGCGAACGCCAGCATCGTCTATCTCACCATCTTCCGTATCATACTCGGCATCGGCGTAGGAGGGGACTACCCCATGTCCGCCTCCGTCACGTCCGACCGCGCCAACCTTCGCAAGGTACGCGCCCGTACCCGTCCCGTTCCCCTCGGACGTCGAATGAGCGCTGACGGATTCTCTGATATAGAGGGGCACGATGCTCGCGTACATCTTCGCGAACCAGGGCTGGGGCTCGCTCGTCGGCTCGATCGTGACGATGGTCGTGCTCGCGTGCTACAAGCACGCCATGGACGGCGAGGGCGAGACGTCCAAGGTCGACGGCGTGTGGCGCATCATCGTCGGCGTCTCGCTCATCCCCGCGTTCGGCACGCTCTATCAGCGCCTGACGCTGCCGGAGTCGACGCGGTATCAGCGCGCGCAGCGGGACGCGGAGGCGAGCGACGACGATATCGCGGAGCTGAAGAAGAAGAACGCGGAGGACGTGAGCGTCCGGGAGAAGCCCGCGCCCCCATCGCCGTCGTCAAACGCACCGGAGCACAAGGAGCCCGCGAAGCCGAAGAAGGCGCATCTCATGGAGTTCATCGAGTACATGAGCGAGTGGCGGCACGCGAAGGTGCTCATCGGGACGTGCACCTGTTGGTTCCTGCTCGACATTGCGTGCGTGCCCCCCCTTTCATCGCGTTTCTTGCCTTTGTTCCTCGAGGAGGCCCTCTGACGCGTCGCGCGTGCGTGTAACAGGTTTTACGGCATCAACCTGAACCAGAACGTGGTGCTGCAGCAGATCGGGTTCGCGGGCAAGACGGGCACGCCCTGGCACAAGCTGTTCAAGATCGCGACGGGGAACCTGATCGTGACCGCGCTCGGGTTCGTGCCCGGGTACTACTTTACGGTGTTCTTCGTCGAGAAGCTGGGGAGGAAGAAGATCCAGTTGGGCGGGTTCTTGCTCGAGGCGTTCTTCCTCGCCATCCTCGCCGGCAAGTTCCACACGCTCGGCACGGCGAGCTTCGTGGTGCTCTTCGCGTTTTTGCAGTTCTTTTTCAACTTTGGGGCGAACGCGTGAGTGGTTCTCTCCGTCTCTACTCCGTTTTTTTCTCTCGTGTTCCTGCGCAGACGGGTGCTGAACTCGTTTCGTGGGGGGAACAGGACGACGTATATGTACCCGGCGGAGGTGTTCCCGACCAAGTTCCGCGCGTTCGCGCACGGGATGTCGGCCGCGAGCGGCAAGGCGGGCGCGATCATCTCCGCGCTCGCGTTCAACGCGCTCTCGGAGTCGGTCGGTACCCCCGTCGTGCTATGGAGTGAGTCGCGCCCCGCCCCCTCTTTCACTCCCGAAGTGCTGACGAGTGGGACAGTCTTCTTCGGGTGCTGCCTCGCGGGCGCGTGTTTCACGCTGTTGTTGCCGGAGGTGATGGGGCGCGATCCGGACGTGGTGTATGAGGAGGAGATGAGGGAGAAGCGGCGGGCGCACAGGCAGCAGTGAGTTCCCCGACGCGGTGTGGGTGGTCTCACGGTAGGATGGTATGAGGAGGAAGGAAGTCAAAAGAGTAACGGCATGCATCGTGCAAGTGCTGGCGATAAACAACTCAATCTCACCGTGTATCAGTATTCTTACAAGTCAAAAGCAAATCGGACAGTGCTTTCGTAGATAGATAATACCATGTTCTGCTTTATTATTTGTATGTTGGACGTGCACAATATCGTGGAAAGACGCGCGGGGATGAACGTGCGCCTCTTGTTGTTGCGCCGGCCACGACCGTGTCTGTGCATCTCCGTCTCGCGAGATCAATCAATACACCAGGACCAGCTTGTTCTTGACCAACCTCTATACTTCCCTCGCGTACTGCGACGCGATAACTCTAGTCCTTACACCTATGGATCCCCAGCACACCCTTGTATACTCCGGCGCGGGACCCTCGTCCTTCACGTCCAGCTCCGGATCCGGATCGCGCTACTCTTACGAAGTCATACCCGGTTTCTTCGTCCACGACGCGCCGCTCCCGGAGGATACCGCGGTCCCGGTCGCGAACGCGGTCTACCTGCCGAGGCCGGTCGCGGTCGACGCGGTGCGCTTCCCTTCTCTATTCTCCCCCCTCTCACCGCTTTTTCGAACCGTTTGGATTATGATTACTGAATCCTTGTGCGCGTGGTGTAGCTGCCGCCGCGGTTCGGGCTGGTGGACGAATCCCCGGAGCGGTGGACGACGTTCGTGGGCCGGATCGGCGAGCTGCAGGCTCAGGCGGAAGGCGAGGGCGCGGGCGTGAAGGTGTTCTGGCTCGGACGGCACGGAGAAGGATACCGTACGTTTGCATGCGCGCCTGGACGAATGTGACAAGCTGATACCTTGCGCTGGATATCGTGGCAGATAATGTCGGGGAGGCCAAGTACGGGACGAAGGTACGGTGCACCTCGTGCGGGTCGGCTACACACATACCTGTTGATCCTGATCGTATTATTTTTGACTTTCTTCTCATGTAGGCTTGGGACGAGTAAGTTCTCGACGCGAGCGGGACGATCACAAAAATACTTGGACGTTGAACCAAGTCTCTTCCCCTCCTCCTCTTTTTGCTCAGTTACTACTCCAAGCTCAACGGCGATGGCGAGATCACCTGGGGCCGTATGTGCTTATGTCGCCAAGCACAAAGGGCATGACGCTGACGCCCTTGATCCGTCGCAGCCGACCCGGAACTCACGCCTCTGGGCGAGTCGCAAGCGCGCGCGGCGCACGATTTATGGCAGACCGAGGTTACCCCACTGCCTCGTTTCGTCCACAGTCACGACGGCTGACGGCGCTAGGGCAGGTGACGGCGGGGATGCCGCTCCCGGACAGTCTATACTGCAGCCCGCTCACGCGCGCGCTGCGGACGAATCAGATCACGTTCGACGGCGTCGTCGATCGTTCAGAACGGCGGACGACGGTGGTCGAGGTACGGTCCCTCTCCCCTTTCCTCTCCCCCTCCCCCCCGCCCCCCTCACCGCTAACGCGCATCTGTGTGTCTCGCGTGCGGTGGCGGGCGTAGTACTGCCGCGAAGAGAACGGGGAACACACGTGCGACCGGCGCCGGACGCGGTCATACATCCGCGCGACCTTTCCCTCGTTCGAGATCGAGGACGGGATGACGGAGGAGGACGAGCTGTGGGACCCCGTCGTGCGCGAGACGAAGGCGCAGGTGGACGCAAGGGCGAGGGCCGTGATCGGGAGGGTGTTTGGGAAGGATGGGGCGGAGACTTGTACGTATTACGTTCCTTCCGTCTCCTCTGCGTTGGCGCGCAGGGCTCATGGGAAGGTCAGATGTATCGATCACTGCGCACGGGGGGTGGATTAACGCGTTTTTGCGCGTGGTGGGCCATGCGCCGGTGAGGCTGCCTACGGGAGGTGCGTGCATGCTACTTCGATGTAGCTACATATGCTGATTCGCTCATTTGGTATCGTTCATCTTTTGCAGGCGTGATTCCTGTTGTCGTCAAAGCTACGAGAGAGTCAACGTAGATAGATAGTTGTAGCGAGGTGCTCGTTCTTGAAAGCCTCAGGCAAAAGTCTGAATAATGTCCTGCTCGGCGCCAGAAACGAAAGATGGTTGCCATGCGCCTTGCATCCGGCCCCGAGTCCCGAGTACTCCGGCGGCCCACGTGAGCGCCCATCGTTCCCACCGGCCGCGGTCGTGACGTTCGCTCCTCCACCACCTTCGTCTTCTCGTTCCCCCCTTGCGCGTGGTCGGGACCTAATCTTGCTCTTGATCGACGGCTGACCTTCGCAGAACCTCATCCGGTGACCGCGTTCGCGTTCTTGACTTTGCAAGCAGGCTACAAAGTACCGAGATCACCGACGATTTCTCGTGAGGATGTGGCGAGCGTGTAAAAACTATACCGTCTTGCGACTGGCTGGTTCTGTCTCAAAAAGAATGAAAAATGTGTCATTTTCACGTGTCTATTCCTAGTCGACTCCGGACGTTGCTTCATTTTTCGCTTTGTCCACCTTATCGCGCTGAGATCCTCGTTATCTCGCTTCTCCCGGTAGGGAGGGGATCGTTGGTGAGCGCATTTTCTGTTCGCCCTGGCGCAGTCTGACTGAAACTGCCAAAGACGAGCGTTTGGGCGTGCCCACGAGACCACCTCGTCATCGTGACGCAGGCTGAAACCCCGAAGCCACAGTCCGGCGGTCCTTGGTGCAATGGAACGACTTCTTTTCCAGGTTCCGGTTCACTATCGATGGCCTCGCTGGAAACGGAGTGAGCTACGCTGGGAATCGTGGATGTTGCCGGATCAGATCGCCGCGTGACCGCGGACGCATCCCAGCGCATCCTCTCCTCCAATGCCATATCCCGATCCCGATCCCTCTGTGCGGGGCCGAATTGCGTGCGACCAAATGCGAATTCGCTCGTGTCACCGCGGCCGGCCTATGGTAGACGGTCGCATGCCCACGTCTAATTTGTTCCGCCGTCGAGATCACACCCCGAAGGACCGGAGGCGTGACGCAGCGAGAGACATCAGAACCTCGAGCGCGTATTCCAAAGGAACAACGGACGCGCCAAAGCGGACGGGCGCGCCCAAGTCGGGAGAGGGCGCGTCGAAAATCGCGCACCTCCGTCCGTTTATGGGATGCGCGATCGGGCGGTCAGCTGCTCCCCGTCCTGCGAGAACTGCGAGAACTCGAAGAACGGCTCGGCAGTGGATGGGGATGGTGTCATGGCTCACACCCTCACGAGGTTCCCAGGACGAGCTCACTCCAAGTATAAAATATGCTAGATCTTAGACGGGTGGATGGTCAGGAGTATCTTGCTCCCTCCTACCCTTTCTACCCCGTCGTTGGTTCGATCTATACCGGTCATGGTGATGCTCCGACGCACTGTGCTCACCGCCGCGTGGCTCGTTCCCGCGGCATTAGCCCGTCCGTACGCCCTCGACACGAACGGGACGCTTGAGGCTCGCGGTCCTGGCGGGACGAAGACGGTTATCGCTCAGATGTTTGAGTGGACTTGGGACAGGTCGGTTCTTTGTATCCGTTGCCTCCTCTTCCTCCGTTCATCGCATTTCTCGCCTTAGTATTGCTGCTGAGTGCACCAACTACCTTGGTCCAACAGGATACGGTTTCGTTCAGGTTTCGCCTCCACAGGAACACGTCACCGGTAGCCAGTGGTGGACCGATTACCAGCCCGTGAGCCGTCCACCTTCGCATTGTCCGTGCATCTAGTTGACATGAACGTTTCTTTGGGTTCTGATAGGTCTCGTACATTCTCACCTCTAAGCGTGGTAACCGTTCACAGTTCGCGAACATGGTCTCCACCTGCAACGCCGCAGGCGTCGAAGTCATCGCGGACACGATCTGGAACCACATGACTGGGTCCGACTCCGGCTCGGGCACGGCCGGCTCATCCTACACGCACTATTCATACCCCGCAGTGCCGTACACCGACAGCGGGGATTTCCACCATTGCGGGCTCGAGCCGAACGACGATATAGTCAACTACGACAACGCAGTCCGTTTGCCACTTTCCATCGTCTCTCCGCTGTCAGTTAAAATATGTTTCTCTCCTTAGCAAGAGGTGCAGACGTGCGAGCTCGATAATCTGGCGGATTTGGCGACGGAGACGACGCACGTCCGCCAGACGCTGGCCGCGTATGGGAACGATCTGCTCTCGCTCGGTGTGTCGGGCCTGCGCCTGGATGCCGCGAAACACATCAGCGAGTCCATATTCTCGTATCGCGAGAGAATACGTTCTCAACGTTTATGAAGACGTCAACGACATCGCCGCGATCCTCGCGATGCTCGACTCCAAACCGTACATCACCCAAGAGGCGAGTCCTCTGACGAGCTCCTTGTGAACTTGTCTTCTGACTCTGAACGCACATCCAGGTGATCTTCGGATCGGGGGAGCCGATCACGCCCAACCAGTACACCGGCAACGGCGACGTCCAGGAGTTCCGCTACACGACCGCGTGAGCACACGTTCTACCCTGTCGTTCTTGACTGTGTCTCAGTCGACCGGATCGTCAGTATTCAGCAGGCATTCAGCTCGGGCGGCATTTCGAGTCTACAGGATCTGGACAATAGAGGTGAGGGATCGACGTCGCTACGTTCACCGTTTATTTGTGCGATGACTGAAGTTATGTGCGCGCAGGATAGGTTCCCGGAACGGGCGCTAATGGTGCGAGTCGAACGTCGACAGGAATGTAACCGAGATGCTGACCATACCAGTCTTCGTCACCAACCACGACACCGAGCGCGTACGTGTTGCTCTCTTCTCCCCCCCCCACCAAAAACCGGATCATCTGACGATAACGGGGTGATGACGATGCAGAACGGCAACTCGCTCAACTACAACTCGCCAAACAATATCTACTGGCAGGCGCTCGTGTTTTCCCTCACGCACCCTTACGGGACCCCGACCATCCTCTCGAGTTATCAGTACAGCACGACTGATGACGGCGCGCCGAACGGAGGTCAGTGCATCTGCTCTTCGCCCGTATTTGGGGATCGGGTTCTGAGAGTGCTTCGTTCATAGGCACCGGCACTTGCTCAGGAACCGGCGGCGTGAACGGCTGGTTGTGCCAGGTAAGCAGAGAGGAAATGTAACGCAAAGTCATGTTTTGCTGACGATACATATCTGAACAGCACCGATGGGTATGATCCGGAAAGCCTCAGGTTCCTTAGCCCGGAGTACTGACAAACTCCTGTTCAGGTCGGCGGTATGATCGGCTTCCACAACAACGTTGGCTCGTCCGCGATCACCAACTGGGTCTCGCCCTCCTCGCAGCAGATCGCTTTCGGCCGTGGTAAGGCGGATTTTACACCCTCCTCTCCGTCCGATTACTCAGATTTGGTGGTACAGACTCGCTCGGTTTTGTTGCGATCAACAACCAAGATTCCGCCTGGACAGCGACGTTCACGACTTCCCGTGCGTTTTCCTCTTCAAGTAAGTAAACGTGCGCTGATCGTTCGCATCCCGCAGTTCCCGCAGGTAGCTACTGCGACGTGATCGCGGGCCCCAACTCCACCGCGGGTCATTGCGCCAGCACTGTGTACACCGTCTCGAGCAGTGGTACCTTCACGGCCACCGTCGGCGCACGGAACGCCATCGCCATCCACACCGGCGTCACCTCCACCGGCACCTCCACCACGACCTCGGCGGGCACCAGCACGACCACGAAGGCGACCAGTACCACGTCTTCCTCAAGCTCATCCACCACCGCGAGCGTCACCGTGAACTTCAAGGTCGTCGCCACGACCACCTTCGGCGAAAACATCTTCGTCGCGGGATCTATCGGTCAGCTCGGCAGCTGGGCCCCGGCTTCTGCGGTAAGTACCCCTTTTTTACCTTCTATGCCATGCACGAGTGCCGAACGTTCATATGTTGAAGGTGTCGATGAACGCGAACGCGTACCCGACTTGGGCTGCGAGCGTCGTCTTGCCCCCCAACACCGCCTTCCAGTACAAGTATATCCGGAAGGAGACCGATGGAACGGTTCGTGCTTTTCCCCTGTGTAACGCCATCCGTCGTACTCACGTTGGCTTGTTCTTGCTACTCCGTCACAGGTGAACTGGGAAGACGGTCAGTACTTTTCCGTGCGGATGTTGATGCCGATTCGACGCTGACGGGTGGTGTCCTACCCGACCACAGATCCCAATCGCTCCGACACGACCCCGGCTTCCGGGTCGCAGACTCTAAGCGACACCTGGAAATAAAAGTAAAACCTCTAAAAAGGGAGGCTTATACCAAGAACCTGATATAGCGAGTTTCTACTGTACTCGACGATAGAATATTGAACGGCTGCCTGTGTACTGTATCGAAGTGAACACGAAGTTCAGAGGGTCATTCCATATTGGTGGTGTCCGTTCCCTTGCCGAAAGTTCGATACTCCTGATGCAACCATTCTTCGTCTGTATCATAATCCTGATGCCGATACATGGTCATACCGAACAGGTGCAAGAATGCCACTGGGGGCATGAACTGCAAAAGCTATTGCATTAAGGGGGAATCGAACCCCCGGCGGGTCGAACTCGTCCATCGAACGGATTCGCTGGCAACGACCCAGGTTACCACTACCCCATTAATGCTTCGTTAGGAAGCTGTAGTAATACCATTCATGACGCTCATTCAACGCTCACAGTAACTCTCACATCACTCAAGCGAGGATCCTGCTTTCCCTGTTCGTTGTTCTTACGTCCACGGCGCCCGCTGGCGATCCCGACTCTGGCATGTTTCGCTGTCTTGCTGCTCGTCTCGAACGCCCACCCCCGCGCAATGCAGCCCGTCTCATATCTTGATAGGACGCCGCAGGAAATCTGGGACCACATCATCTCGTTCAACGACGACGCGACCACGTTGAAAGCTAGCTCGTTGACGTGCCGAGGATGGCTCAATGCCAGCCAGGCCTAGCTCTTTTCAGAGCCTGTACCCAACGATCCGAATCATTCATTTGATCGATCTCCACCCACCATGGTCCGCGTCTTGAACACCCTCCGCATCTCCCCTCATCTGCGCCCCTAGGTCACCGCACTGTCCTTCAACAGGACGGTAAGCATGCCTTTCCTGGCCAAATGGCGGAGCTGGGACTCCCAAACGTGCAATTTGTTTGCATACGATGCGTACAGGGCGGGCTTAACGCGGATGCTAAATTCACTCGCAACGCCGCGAGTTTGATCGCAATCCTAGCAGCCTTCCCCGTCTTCTCACCCTCCATATCCACGACTTCCCCTTCACATCTTTGGAACTCACCAGGCTGATCAGAGCCGTTCCTCGAATCACTCGCCTCGGCTTGCATTCTATCAAATGGATTGCCCATACCCACCGCGTAGGAGGCTCTGCAACGACCTCAGATGCCGGTACCCCCGCAAGGCTTCGTCTCCAGGAGCCGTATATCCGGAACTTCAAAACGGTTCCCTTCTTAGACTATCTCACGGGCCTTTTCACCAGCCGAGATATCCTCGCTATCGAAAACTTATCGTTGCCTGCCAGCACTTCAGGTCCTCTCAGATGGACAAGTGCGATGAACACGCTTCTACGTCACGGCAATACGCTTACTTGCTTGCGAATCAGTAAATTCTCGGCAAGGCCAGGTGAGTAAGGAATCACGCACATGAAGAACGCCACTCACTGTCATAATAGATCCTCTTCTACTCTCCCCACTTTGCTCTCTCGTGGCGATCACGATAGAGATGTGGCTCGGATCCGACAAGGCTCCGAAACAAATGGTAGAGCATGTCGGCAAGTCTCTTGCCACGATTCGGTCTCTCGTCCTCAGATCTGTTGTGTCGAGAATGGACCTCACGTTCAAGCAAGGCGGTGCGCTGCCCCATTTCCTGCAGGAAGTGGGTTCGGCGTTGAGCGGCGGGCTTCGAGCGGCCCACCAACATGAAGGCCACCTTCTGGGCGCATCCCCTTGAGGCAATCAGTGATGACGTGGAGTGTTTACTCGAGGAAAACTTTGGAGTGTTACGCAGGCGCGGCAATGCTGTGGAATTAGGCAGTGCCTAGAGGGTGTGATTCTGCGTTGTCATCTTCATATCTGCAGTTAGTTATCCTTAGTGACATGAGTCCGGAACCGGTCTCGATGGAAATATAGAGGTCGATCATTCTTCTCCATACACGGTATTTCGTCCTCCTGTTCGAGGCCGCAATCCACGTCTTTGCGCTAAGAATGACGTCCTCGCTATCGAGAAACTATCGCTGGTCACCTGCAGTTCCCATGGACAAGGGCATCCAATGGTCTTTTCCGTCATAGCAACGCCATTACCTCGTTACAGATTGACCATTGTGAGAACGTGGCTGCAGGCGCACAGGTGAGAGTGGAAATGTGCGCACAACTACATATTCCCTCATGATTTTCTTGATCTATCGACGCTGTGCTCTCTCGAGGAGAACAGAATCAAATCGCGGCTCTATTCATACGAGCCCCTGGATTGGTCAGAGGGCTTTCACCACAATCAGATCTAGTGCCCTCAGATCGGTCGTGTTTGCACTACGGACTGAGACGCTGCCAGATCGTCTGAAGGCCATCGGGTTGGCGCTGGACAATCATGGTTTCGGGTGGATAACGAAGCTGAAATTTCACTTCGGACCGCGTCACAGCACTCCAGCCAACATGGAAGAATTGGTTGAGCAGCGCTTCTGCATGTTCAGTCAGCGCGGTATTGTCGTCCAAATGATTCGTGAAAGCCGGCGATAGACACAATTCTATGTATGAGACTGCATGCCGCTTCTTTCTTTTTTATTCGTTGTCGGTGCGAACAATCAATCTCATTGGCGTTGGCAGACGCGTATCTCAACTTTGTCACACTGTCGACACAATGAAAGTTGCGCAATCGCTGCACGCGTCTTAATTTGGTTTTCAATTGTTGGAAGATCCTGCGAGCCGATTGCAAATTGATCAGGTCATCAAAACCAAGGCTGTTGCATATCAGGCGAAATGCGGCCAATAATTTGACCAGGATGGCAGTTCATAGGCGGCAGGTTCTAGGAAAAAGAGCTGGCGCAAGCTCTCGATAAGGAGATAGCCGGACATCGTGATGTATGGCATAGCGGCACAAGCCACCAGCCGCGTCTCCCCTCGACGTTCCCCTGTATATATCCCCAAAGTCATCCGAACGACAACGATGGTCGCGACGATGAGAGCCATTCCCATTCCCCAGGATGATATGACCACCGTCGCGATGCGCCACAGCAACCGCTCCATCGCGGTGGGAAACCGAGCGTTCCACGCGAGGAAATGAGGTACGCCGTACGTCAGTGCCAACGCCGCTGCGGACAGATTGGATCGCATTATCCCAGAGAGCCCTTGACCCTTGAAGTCCGTGGACGACTGCAGAGAGGAGTACGGTAAGACGTACGGCTTGTCGAGGATTGGGGGACTGATGAGACCGTAGTTCCGCATTGCGGCCGATGCGAGCGTCCATCGCTGTATGTCCTCCGATTCGAGGGTGATGGCTTCGTGCTCCTTCCTGTCTCGAATGTGCCAGGGGACGGGCCGAGATCCGTAAAGCATCTTGCTCTTGAGGTCAAAGAAGCCCGGTCTCTTCATCACTAGGCTCTTCGGAGCGAGGTTGGTATTCCCCAGGTAAGACGTTTCCGGAAGAAGTGATAAGGGCAGCATCTTCGGACACAATTGCTTCTCAGACAGGTTGACCTTCACTCGCTGCGGAAAGACGAGCCTTGAAGGAGGGGAGGATGAAGAGAATGATCCGTCGGGTTGCCCCATCAAATTATTTGACGCATCCTGCTCCAGACACTTGACAAACTGCATTTCTGCCGGGAATCTGATGCAGGCAACCCCGTACAACATGTGATACTCTTCCACACTGCACATCACCATGAGTGCACACGCCTCTCTCGCCCTAGAACCTCTTATTAAGGTCGGCTCGACGACGTTTAGAGGTTTTGACCACCAGAGGAGGTATGTGACAAGAGTGCAAAGCCCATGAGCGACAGTCGAAACCTCGAGAAGACTGAGTGGAAGGTGCTCAGTGATGCGGGAAAGACAGTTGGCGCAGAACCATGCCACCTGCGCAAGAAGAAGTGCCTTGCTTAGGGCACTAGCTTGAGTGCGGTCGGTGATAGAAGTTTCCGGTATGTCGGGAATGAGGTCTGGATCGTGCTTCATCAGGAAGCATACGCCTTGCGCGGTGAGAGTCATCCGAGTTCGCCCGGCCGGAAGGATCAGACTCGGATGTCCATCGTTTGCGTCTTCGTCGTCTTCGTCCCCGCTGACATCGAAGACGTAGCCTCCTATGGATGCGTAGAAACCATGCACTAAGGTGAATAAGTTTCGTCGACGCCTGCGGGTTTCGTCTGAAGAATGCGATTGGGGGACAAAGTCGAGCTCCTAGAAATTCAATGACTCTGGTTATGTCAAGTACTTGACTCTGGGTAAAACAAACTCACCTGCTGCACGCTCTCTATGTCCTTGATGGAGCTTTTATGAGGACTCGTTGCTTCGTCCCGAACAGGCATCATTTTGTTTGCGTGGCTAAGGACGGAGCGCGCGTTCGACCTCTGGTTGAAGGCGATAAACATAAGCAGCTCTGGGCAGAACAAAGCAGCAGCCATCCATAAAAAGCTCGTCGCGAAAGATCGATAGATCGAGGGTCGGTATGTGGGTATATCCATGTGAACGGCACTCCAGACGCTGATCAGGAGCGTGCTGAAGCACAAAGAGAAGATGCCGAAGGTGCCACGGAAGTTGGGCTCGGAGACCCAGAGAATCGGCTCTTCTCGCTCCTGGAGGGATAGCATGCCAATGTTGCGTATCTGCAGGCAACCAGTAACGAGACGCACCAAGTGATGAGTGCCTCAAGGAGCAGGTAGATGCTCCTCGCTACAGATCAGGATCCAGCATGGCTGCTATATACCGTCGACAACAGTGCTTCCAGCGGAATAAACCGAGTTGCGACATATCGGAGGCGTAACTGAGACCTTATGAGGCCGATGTTGGGGATATTGATTGCTAGATGCGGATCATTTGAAACTTGTGTCAAAGCCAAAAGATGAGGAATGAAGTGTCGATGATAGTTCGATAAGAACACATGGCGCCGGATACTGTGGAGACGACATTAGGTCACAGCATTCGCTCCGATTCAATGCCCAAGTGGCACGCAGCCAACTCCGGAATGGCCCTCTAGATGTTCAATCTGTATCAGTTTGGGATCGGTCAGGCCTTGCACAGTTGTGGGGACATTAAGACTTTAATCACTGCAGAGCGAATGGCTGGTTTACGATGTAGCGTACCTGAGATATGCTATCACAAACGATTGCAACCTTTGGAAGCCACGGTAGCTCCCGTACAAGATTTGTATGCGTTTGCGTGTCATCGTCTACATCGGGTATGACCTAGCACTGCAGCGGCGAGAGAAAACGCAGCAGTCCTATCTCGCAACATCTTTTCCCGGTGTCCGGTGAAACACATGGGTGTGAACGAGGTAAACAGGCCAGAGACTCAAGAACAATGAGCGAAGCTGTCGTATCGGACATTGCAAACCGGTGAGGCTCGAGCGTCGGTGGACAAATCGGAGGACTCGGCGAGAGGCTGTGGGCGGGAAGAGCCAGCACCGGATCGAAGGGCCATCTATTTTCGCACGCGTCCGCGACGAGCGCAGCGTGTCAGCGCTGGCTTCTGCTACATGAACAACGCCGGTATTACCACCTTCATATACCATAACCATTTCACGTATTGAGTCTTTCATGCATGTCAAAGCTGCACCCGGCCCTACAGCTACATTTCCCAACTAGGGGTGGATTTACATTTGCGGTGGTTATGGAGCGTTCACGTAAACCTCCTTCACCATGCAACTGCGACCTGAACGCGGTATAAGGAGCGCAGGACGGTTCGTGAGAGGTACCCGAAACAAAAATGTACTCATTTCTGCTTTCTGGGAGGAAAACGGGAGAGACGTTCCTTTGACTGTCCTCAGTCCTGTATAGGAAGGGCGGTGAATGCAGCGCAAAATATCCAGTTGGCGCTGACCTGAACCAACCTGTTTAGAGCTTGCTTGTTATTTCCGCGTGCAAGGCCGCGAGCTCATCCTTCGAGGGCTGCTTAGCAGGCCAACCGATGACAAGCCCTGCAGAATACGAGGGTGCGTGAGCAGTCCGGAAGGATGGCGGTACGAGTAATGGAAGACTATGTGGGATTGTGGTTGGCGGAAGAGAGTCATACCTTCGGAATCATTTCCCTCACCGGCCTCGTTCACGGGTTTTGGGATTAAGTGGAAATGGACGTGGGGGACCACCTGGTGAGCGGCCTTTCCGTTGTTCTAGATGCGGGGTTCGTTAGGACATCGGTTCAGACAAGAAGCGCAAGGTTCAGGAGTATGACTGATCAAGAAATCTCGCAGTAGAAGAAGACTGAGGTGTGTAATTGGGAGAACTCACCTGTAGGATATTGTAGTTCTCGAGACCTTGCGCGACTGCCAACTTCTTCGCGATCTTCATCTGGTCGATGAGATGTTCGTCGGGGATGTCATGTAGCTTCTCCCCGTGGTCTGTGAACAGAGCACAAGTCAGTATGGCAATGTAATCTTGAGGGGTCCGAGGATGATGCATACGTATAGGATGATGATGGCGGGGATGGTGTCTGGTCAGTGCTCACATTTCGGGATGATCACGGTATGACCCCGTGCGATAGGCCCAATATCCAAGAAGGAGTACGAGAGATCCGTCTCGATGAGCTTGAACGACGGAATTTCACCCTTGATGATCTTGCAGAAGATGCATGATGCGAGCGACCTTAGGGCGCGGCCTTTCAGTATGGAGGAAGACCCTATGGAACAATGTCCAAAACTGACTTGGTGGCCATGACAAGCTGGAGCGGCGAGTTATTCGTGTGCGTGGCGGAGAGAAGATGAAACGACGAAACCCCCTCTCCGAATCAGCGCTGCCGATAAGGGCCGATGACCTCACCGGATAAGGCCGAACTATTTGTGCTTGCTTTGCTGAAACCTGCGGACCACACAAGCACAAATAAACTCTGCGTTCCTCTCGCACCAAACCACGTGCGTATTCGCTGATTGGGGTTCCTGTCTCCGTTGTTCCCGCTTTTTGCGACACTCGACGTCTCATTACTATGACCGGTCCGCAAAGAGGCGCAGATCCGGATTGACAGCGACGTTCAGGACCGTAAGGCGGTGCCGTTGCCCCTGTGCATCGCGAACCTTCCGATGAGATTTACGAAGCCTCATCTGTTGGCATTCCGTGTATACGAGATATCTCACGACTGACAGCTTCAAGGAATGTATATCATGCGGCAAGAAGTGCGGGCTCAGGGCGCTTACGCGGCGTGAAAACTCGTGAACCTGCCTCTAAAGATAATCGTTATAGAGGGTGAAACTTGAGGTTGAAGTCTGTTTTCGGATCGATACTACCTCCAACTTGTAAGTCATTCTCATAATAGTGTCGGGGCTCGATACCAAAAACTGAATACAATCCTTACGTTGCCGGATTACTCCTGTTAGGTTCGCCTGACAAGAGCCGTCGTTCCATGTGCGACCCATCATGGGGAAGCGTATCTGTCTATTGACCTTTCCCATGCCTCATTCACGGAGACGGGCATGCCTCTCGGATGGGGTAATAATGAGGAAGGTTGTGGAATGCCGCGACGGCTGTCCTCAATTGCAACTACGGCAAGGCTTCATATGGTTCGCCGATCATGTCATCACAGGCGCTAGAATGCACCATATGAATGCTGTGCCACTGGCCAAAGGGAGGTAGTGGAGGATGCCCTTCGTGCTCGGGAGTGCGACAAGCCTTTATAACCCCACGTCCTGGATGATCGCTGAGTCACCTCGTGCAGCCATCGTCTGGACATCTCGGCGGTGCGGAATGGCTCTTATCGCCCTGGATGGCCTACTTGGCGCCTCTCTCATTGGGGTGCTTGTTTCGGCCGTGTAACTATTCTTACGTTCGTCTCCTTGACTACATGCTTAACATGTGTTCGGATGCAGAGTGTTCGGCATTACGTGCCTCCAGATATACTTATACTTCACGGAACATTCCCAGAACGATTCGACCCTCTTGAAGGCATTCGTGAGTCGTTGTCAATCGCGAGATTTAAGCTCACTGACAAATTGCAAGGTTCTCATCCTATTGTGAGTGGGAGTGCTGTTACTTACAGAGGGAATCCTAGTTATTGAGTGACTGCTATTGCCTAGCTTCTTGGATACATTGCACCTCGCGCTTCTCAGTCATTCTATCTACTTCTATACTGTATCATGCTTCGGAGACTATTTCGCTCTCACGGTTGCTACCTGGTGCGTGTCATCTCCATTGAAACCAGAGACTACTCACTGACGACATGACAAGGTCCCTCTTGGTACGTCTCATCCGCTACGCGCACGGTGATAGGCATATAACATCCGTGACATAGGTGCAAATACCAATCAGCGTGAGTGACCCCTCATATCACATAGTGTCGCGCTGAAACGGAGATTACACAGAGCATCGTGACTTTATCTGTGCAATTGTAAGGATTATACACGTTTCGCTCCGGAACAGAATATTGATTCTTTCATCCAGGTTTTTTGCGTATCGTATCCACAAACGTGAGCTGCGCTTTCCCCGTCCCTGGATCGTGATTTATTTTCGAAACTGCAGTTAGTGATGGCCATAACTGGTGGATGCCGCTGGCGATCGTAAGTCTTCCTGATCCATACAACTTCAGTACCTCATCGGAAGCGTCGTAGTGCGTACTGGCTGCAGGAGAGATGGGTAATTTTTTCGCAAACGGCATTGTTAATTAGCTCAATCCGTTATATCGTCCAACAGCGGCGGGCATAGGTGAGGCAGCACGCGCCTTGTCTCCAGGAAAAGATTCTGACTCGTACACCTCTGGTCTTGAACGTAGGCATGACTACGGTTGGGTGAGCCCATGATCGTAACGATAGATTTGCGCTCTCACACAGATTTCGATCTTAGATTCATCATCAGGAAATTCGCCTTCGAAGATAGAATCGTCGTACGTAGCACCGCGATGCGGACGGTACGAGACGTGACACTACATGATGTAGAGCTGGGCTGCGAGCGGTTTGACAGCGGGATTTGTGTGCGATACAATGATCACCACGGGAATGGTACACTACCTGAATCGAAACCAATCACAGTTCCCGAGGTTCGTTCGGTTTTCATACCGTGTAGGATATCTCAGACCGGACTTTCAGAACACAGAAAGCTGTCAGCATGCTCACCAATTATGCGTTGAATACGGGTGTGTGTCGCATAACACTGCTATAACTTTCAACTAAAGGCATGTTCTGATAGGGCTGATAACCACGTGCGTATCTTTGTGGGTCGTCTGTGAGATCTTCCAGCCAACCATTTACATTTGCAGCATCCTTGCGCTGATTACTCTGATCGTGGTACGTCTACCAGTCATGATATTGGGACATGAATTCCGATACCCAGCAATACAGCTTCTCACTCACCACGAAGAACTAATCTACGCGCCGTTTTACTTCATGCTCGCTCGCGGTAAACTCAGGCATTGTTGACGATGAGCTACCGTACTGAGGCTATTCCTGTCACAGTGTATGCTTGTTCCTTCATGTCCGCGTAGGTTGACTCCGTTGTTCCAGCACCACGCCGTGCTAACTTCTCCCCGGATAGATTGAACACCAGATCCAGCATTCGAGCTGTCATGGACGACCTCGCTGGTCCTGTGATGCTTTCACACATGCGTACTCCCTCCTTCGCGGACGTAGCTTCTATTCGTGTGAAACACGGGCGTGAAGGATCGGATATTCGGTCGCTCCCGATACGAGGGCGATTGAATGATGGCTGGACACAGGGTTCCCTTGATCGCCCACGCATTAAGTAGGCTTGACGAAGAGGCGCATGATTTGCAAGGCTCAAGGACAAGGAAATGTCGTAGCTCAAAGGCCGTATATACTCATACTATCCCCAAACAACGCGACAGTCAATATAATTATGATATCTCGGTTACTCATTCACCAAGCACAGGTCCCGAGCCGCTACATACCGTCCGCTGTGTCCACTGGCAGGAGGTGACCTCAAGGCTGATAAGCACGGTTAGGAATCTGGCCTTTGCCTACATTATGTTTTCAAGACTATCGCACTTGGACTACTGCAAATGTGCGAGATAGCGAGATAGTGATCGTACAGCAACTGTTTTATGTCTTGCGACTGTACATTGCCCATAATCAACTGTAATACACGCCGTTGCAATTGCGAGATAGTCTTTCCAAGCCATTACTTAGGAGGGTGATTCAGACTTCTTCTCCATATCATGGCGAAGATCATCGCGAACGTTCAACATCGCCACTATGAATTAGATCATCGTTCGCCACTGTATACCATGGGGGTAGGAAGTGCTACGCACGCATTGAGTCCGTGTATAGTCCTGATAGCAACAAGTGAAAGAATAACCACTCCATTCCTGCAGGAATGATGCAGCGAATGCTGCCTGGCAACACGTCACCAATATTCCACGAGCGAAGAAGTATCGGAGAAGTCGACTTAGTACCGTGTCAGTTCTAGAACGAGTGGTCAGAGACTTTACCATCCTAGTAGCAAATACTTACGCTCTGAATCCGGTACGGGAGCTCCAGAATATGTAACACATGCTTGCGGTGGCCAAGAAGTCTGCGACGGTATTGGAGACGGAAGGCACGCGTACGGTCTAAGGTCCGCTATGTCTTATCTCCGTGAGGAAGGGCCGGGCCAAGGCGATACCGCATGATGAGTCTGTTTCCAAATCCGCGATTCGAAGATGCAAACGTAAGACGTACCAGCGTCGCCGACGCATCGAGTATGACTCATATTGGGTGGTTATCTGTAAGACCTCGTTTTTATCCCACTGGATATCGATGAAATAAGAATTCGTGGAAGAAATAAATATAAACGACACCAGAAGTACAGATTATGCGCGAGACTGCTACTTAGACGTCCATGTTAAGGATACAATTGTATAACAGAAACGTTCGGGGTTCAGCGTCTTCGTCTCCTCGCTTGCTCCAACGCGTACCGTTGGTACTTGCGTTTGATCATATCGGGTCGGGCCACAATATTCCCGTCCCCATCTCTGACGCCCACTCGGGCATGAGGACCAAGGACGTGGCGGACCATCGTCTTACTGTCCCCTACGCAGTCCGGGTCCCATGGGCATACGTACAGACCTTGCTCGTTGCGGGTGAAGTGGACGGCGATCATGTGATCGTGCATCTCCCACCAGTTGTATGGTCCTTTCTTTTGGCATCCCGTCACCTCGCACTCGGCCTCTAGACGATGGCCGCTGGCACGACCCGGGGCGACTTTGCAATAAAACGGCGGGTCCAGCTTCTTCTTCTGCTTTGGCTTCGGCTTTGGCTCGCCTCGCGTTTTGGTGTACGGCATGGCGTTCTGACGCGCCTGAAAGCGCGTGGTGCGCGAGGGTCCGGCGGTAGGGGCAAGAGCGTCCGCGTGCCCACACAGCGGCGTCTCCCTGGTAGCGTTCTGACGCGTCCGCGCCCGCGTATTGCGAGAAGGGCCGGCCGGGGGAGCGTTCTCGCCGAACGACGGATCGAGCATGTTCTGCCGAGGCAAAGCCTGCCCGTTATGGGCGGAGAAGGGCACCCGAGGAGGCGCGACGTGCGGGTGGGGATGCGAGTGCGGCACGCCGTGAGGGTGAGGGTGATGATGGGTGTGCGAGAAGTGGGATACCTCGGCGGTCGGGTGCATGGCGGGCATCATATGAGGCGGCAGCGGTTGGTGGGGCCTGTCGTACGGCGTGGCGGCGGCGCGCTGATGGCTGCGAAGGACGCGCTCGGAACCAGTGTCGGGGCGGGTCGAGTAAGGAATCGGAGGGGGGGCCTGGCTTCGCTGGGATACGGCCTCGGGAGGTGCCCCAAGATAGTAGTATGCGGTGTCGGGAACGGGGGCAGTGGGAACGGGGGCGCGATCGGGCTGAGCGTATTGTGTAGCATACACCTCGGTAGACGGTCCCGTGTAATAACCCGAACCGGAAGCGGCTTGGGCATACTGCAGAGGGTCCCAGTGCTGCTGACTCGGATGCTGCTGCTGCTGCTGGTTTACCGCGCCGAAGCCTTCATTCGAATACGAAGAATCGAGGATGCCTTGGGAGTACAGCTGCTGACCCTCCGGCTGGTAAGGTTGTTCCACGAACGAACCGGCGCCGAGAAGGGCAGGGTCGAGCATGGCTTGCCACGGCATCTGCGGTTGGGCTTGAGACAAGGACGGCGGTGCGTAGTAGTTCTGCTGCGCGTCCGTAACATGACTAGGGGCAGGTCAGACGGGATATACGAGCACGAAGGAAGGGGAGCGTCGTACCTGACACTGGCGGCGGGGCCGAGCACGAAGTCCTGAGGTTGACCGTCCCAGAGGTTGACTTGGGGCGCGTTGACGTTCGCGTCGTACGACGGGGGTGATTGAAAGGCAGGTCCACTGCCGTTGGATCCGGAGGAGACGTACATCTGGGAACTGCTAGATGGTGTTTGGATGAGCGGGGTGGCTCTCGGAAGGTGCATGAACGGTGCGGTACGTACGGGTGGCTGTCTGTCGGGCCGTCAGGGAAGAACCACTCGGTCTGGGACATGATAACGAGGACGAGTGGCTTGTGTGAGAGAGGTAAGAGTAGTGCGGAAGCAAAAAAGGCTTATGGCCAGTTAGTGGACTGGTGGACGGGGTAGTTCGTCGAGGATGGAGAGAGCAGACGGGGCCGTCCATGGTTTTTAAGCTGCTGGAGCGTTACAACGCCCCGTGCAAGTGCACAAAGAAACACGCGCTCGTGGGCGGCTAATTTTTTTCCTTTGCGGAGTCGTTGCGTTGTACAGAGATGAAAGGAACGAAGCTGCGGTGGTGTCGTGGTGGCACCCTCTCGCTGGATCGGGGTCACGCCCAGATTTGGAACGAGATGTGAGACGCCGCGCGTGGGTGCAGCCAAAAGCCACAGAGGGTCGACACAGCTTCTGTAGCTTCTGCGGACGGCGAGGGTAGCCATGGGCCGTTTTTTGGGGGACGCGAGGTGGATCTCCGAAGTTTGCTGGACTTGGGTACCGTGGCCAAAGCCGTCGCGGACATCCAAACGACACAGCGAGATAAGCCAAGATAAATTAAAGAGATGACCACCGAGCTGCAAAACGCATTGTACGAGGCCAGGGCCTTGTATTGACAGAATATTCAGCCGGCCAAGCGCAGTCCCTGGATTGCATACTCTTGCCAGTCATTAGAGGACCGCGTTGCCTTGCGATCGACCGTGGGCGCGAATGCATATGTGGCCTCCCTGTCGCCGCAAATTTGAAGGTCGAGCTCTTCTCCAGAACGAAAGGTGGGTTCGGAGTACGCCCCAAAACGGCGGTCCGAAGACGAGAGGGCACCCACGCGAGGTTTGGCTACGTTCTCCCATAATGATCCTCCGAGAGCAGCGGTCCGGTTCGCTCTCTCGAGAAAAAAAAGCGAACAATGCGGCCCACCGATCTCGAGCGAGTATTGCGATCGACGCTGGCGCCTTGCCCTGAGCAATGCCCCCCTTCAGCTGACTAAGCAAGGCTACGAAGCCTAGGCTCGTTTTGGAAAAACGAATAGGGGCGTTAGCCGAGGGCCTTGCCATCGCTCGTCCACCAGATTTCAGATCTGCAGGTCCAGACACGAAAACAACGCCAATGGATATCGTCCGAGGTCCTTCCGAAAAAAAAAAACAGAAGGGCTCGTCTCGTCCGCCTAGATCCAAACCGTCACACGCGAAGCCATATCAGCGTACACGCCTTTCCTAATCGCACAAGAGCGGGTTTTACGATACACACTCGGCGTTCTATATCGGTTCTTCTTTGTTTTTCTCCGGTGCCCCGCGCCTCAGTCGACGAGCACCACCGAGTCCAGCACCGAAAACCCCGCGGCGACGCCTCCCTCGTCGCTCTCCCTCCCCTTCGTCCGCAACAGCCACCCGGCCGTCGCCTCCTTCACCCCGCCCGCCTCCTCCTCCTCCCCCACACCCGCGCCGAACAGCGCCCACCCGAACACGCCCAGCTCGCTCACCACGTCCGCCTTCACCGCGCCGCCTCCCCCGTCCCCGTCCCCGTTCCCGTTCCCGTTCCCGTTCCCGCCGGCGCGGACGAGGTAGTTGCCCGCGCCGTCGGGCGGGCGGATGAGCTCCATCGCGATCCACGCTTTGTGTTCTTCCCGGGGCAAGGCGTCCAGGAATCCGGGTATGGAGGAGCGGTAGACGTTGTTGCCCCCGCCCTCGCGCTGGGGTTTGAGCACGAGCCCGTCCGCCTCCTTCCGCGCGCGATCCACGCCGCCGTCGTCGTCGAGCGCCCACATGCCCATCCAGCCCGCGCGGAGGTCGGCGAGCTCGTCGTCGCGGTACGTTTTGCCGGGGTGGGGCGGTTGGAGGAAGCGCTCGAGGACGCCGGGGAGGGTGAGGACCTGTTGCACCTTTTTGGCGCCGGCGAGCTGGAGCGGGAGCGAGGGGCATTTGATCGCGCGGGAGCGCTCGAGGAGGAGGCGGGCGGTGTAGGTCGCGGGGTGGGGGAAGTCGGAGGGGGTGTAGCCGGCGCGGAAGTAGACGACGGAGATCTCGGTGGGTGGGGACGGGGGGTGGGAGGGGTGGAGGAGGAGGGCGTGGGTGGTGGGGGAGAGGGAGGCGGAGGCGGAGAGGTCGGAGAGGGTTTGGCGGAGGACGCGGATGTGGTGTCTGAGGTTGGGGGTGGGGAGGAGGGAGGTTAGCGGTGAGGGGAGGAGAGATTGGGGGGGTTTGGGGTGCTATACCTTTCGAGGAGCTCGTATTCGAGCCAGCGTTGGTCGAACACGTTGCGCTCGCCGGGTTGGACGACGAAGAGGATGGACGCGCTGTCGTAATGTGATCGTGACCGTTAGTGTCCTCCGTGGCGAGCGAGGCTTGTGCGATAATGGGTGAGACGTACTCTGGGTTGCCGTACGCCGCGTGCGCGGTGGCGAGACCTTCGGCCAACCCGCGCGTCGTCTCGTTCGGAGGGAAGTTGTCGGGCTTGAGCACGCCCGGGGAGGCGCCGAAGTAGGACGACGTCGCGGCGAGGAGGTAGCGGTGCAGCGCCGCGGCACGTTCCGAGAGCGCGCCGAAGGAGGACGAGATCGTGTTGAACTCGACTTGTTTGAGAGAGGGCGGGGCGCCGCCGTCGCCGTCCGAGGTGTGCAGGAGGTAGTCGGAGCGGAAGAGGCCGAGGTGGAGAGGCTACATGTATATATGAACGTGTAAAAGGTCGGGACGGGTGAGGAAGGGGGGGAGGGGGGGCGGAGGATGGGACGTACTTGGGGGTAGTCGTCCCGGATCGATTTCCAGCCGCGCCAGAGCTCGCCGACGAAGGCGTCGACTTGGCCCGCGCCGCGCTCGGCGCCCATCACGTCGTCGAGGAAGGCCCAGTCCATCGCGATGCGGGCGTACAGGACATTGTAGATGCTCGCGATCTTGTGCGCGTGGTCGAACAGGGCGCGCGGGAAGGGGCTGGGGAGGAGAGAGAGCGGGGCGTGGATGGCGGAGGTGGGCGCGGGGGGCTGCGGGGCGCCCGGGGGGAGGTAGAGCAGGCCGTGCGAGAGGGCGTAGGTCGTGGCGAGGGTCGTTAGCGCGGAGATCTGCTCGGGGGTGAGCGTGGGCGGCCAGGACGGGGACGACATGGAGGGCGGAGGAGGAGGGCCGCAGAGGTGATCATGATCACGGAAAGCTGGTGGACGATGGACGATGGCGTCTTGGATGAGTAATGCGCGTGCAAGATGCGGGCTCTCGCGACGATGGACACGATCGTATGCATACGGATTGTGTTCTGGTGGTCGTCTGGTATGCGACGTGCCTCGTATATTGGGAATAAAAACAAGTCGATACTACAGATATGCGGTCTGGCAAATTGCAAAGGATGCAGATGACGACCTTTCTACCCTTGTCTCCCTGTTCATCTGAGATGCAGCTTCGATAAGATCTTGCATTCGCAGAAGCGAAGGTGATCGTTCAACGTTCAACGTTCAACCGGACTCCGATACGATCTTCATACCTACTTATACATACTTACACAAGTTTGTGTATGTTCCATTCCACCGTCCGGCGACGGTATGCCCCCGCGGTACCTTGTTTGCCCAACTGCTCATTTGATCGCCCAGATGGACGAGTTGCGAAGTGCCCTGCAGGGTAGGCGCAACCCAGCCCGGTCGACGTGAAGATGCCGTCGGTGTATGAGAATCATATGCCCGGCGCTGCGGTGCGGATTTCAGGCGATTTACCTTTTCGTGATGTCGAGCGTTCTCGTGATGATGGTGCCTCCGTGCAAGTTGTGCTATTGTTGATGCCGACCGCGGTCGGTTCGCCGTGGATATACTTAGGGGCGCTTGGCGTAACCGTAACGGGCGCTGCGCTATGCTCCTCTCCATAGAGTCCTTCGTTCCGTGGCGGGCACGCTAGCGGCTACGCTGTGCAAGTCCTGGGAGGTGTGTGAGCTCCATGCCGTCCGCCTTGCATCAAACCACTTCATATAAGTATCGCTTTTGCTGTTCGTCGCGGTCATCGGCGTGCACCATCGCCACACGGCGACGCGGTCAGGTGGACGCGCTACGCCCGCGATTACGTCATTTCTGATGGGCCCGACGCTATCGGCCTGCCCCCGACTTCCACCGCCGTCCGACCCCGGATTCACGCCAATAAAAACCGACACCATGCGCGCTTCGACCCCGACGGCCCCTCCTCCACCCGCTCGACGACACACACGATGAGAACGACCACATCGGCGCTGGCGAGCGCGGCCCTGCTCTCCCTGGCCGCGACGGCGCGCGCCGCGACGACCCTCACCGCGTCTATCACCAGCGCGTCCTCGGGCGTGCCCTCCATAACGATCAGCACGGCCATCGCGAGCGCGACCGCCCCGCTCTCGAGCGCGATCCCCTCTCAGGCCGCGCTCCCGCCCACCCAGGCGTGGTGCCCCAGCTCCATCTTCTGCGCCGGAGAGGTATCTCGACCTTCGTTTCGGCGCATACATGTCACCCTTACTCACAAACCTTTCACCAGCTCCTCCAAGCGCTCAACCTCGCCGGCCTCTTCTCCGACCCCAAAACGATCGTCGACAAGCCGACCTCCAAACCGCCGCAATCCGTCCTCTCCGACTTCTCCTCCCTCACCGGCTCCTCCTCCTCCCCGCCCTCCAACCTCACCGAAGGCTCCGTCCTCTCCTTCGTCGACTCCGACTTCTCCGGCGAGGGGCTCGAGCTCCAGGCCGTCTCCCTCCCGCAGTTCACCGCCTCCCCCAAGTTCCTGGACAACGTGACGGACCCGCTCGCGAAGGCGTTCGCGCAGACGGTGCACGGCTTCTGGACGCAGCTCGCGCGCGACACGAACGCGACCGCGGTATGCGACGGCGTCAAATGCGCGAGCTCGCTCATCCCGCTCAACCACACCTTCGTCGTCCCCGGCGGGCGCTTCCGCGAGCAATGTCAGCGATCCTCCTCTCTTCTCATTCCCCCCTTCCCCTTCCTCGGCCTTCCATCTTTCCGGCTCACGACTTACTGACGTCCCCTGCGTGCACAGATTACTGGGACAGCTACTGGATCGTCCAAGGCCTGCTCCAGAGCGAGCTCTTCCAGACCGCCAACGCGACGCTGCAGAACTTTATGGACGAGCTCGAGCGCTTCGGCTTCATCCCGAACGGCGGGCGCATATACTACCTCAACCGATCTCAACCGCCCCTCTTCATCAACGTGCGCATATACTCCCCGTTCCCCCCCTTCTTCTCCCCGTATGCGCTGCACGCTGACGATCCGCGCGATCGGTACGCAGATGGTCGCGAACTACGTCGCAGCGACGAACGACACCTCGATCCTGGACCGTGCGCTTCCGCTGGCCGAGGTGCGCACGCTCCGTCGCCGATCCGATCTGCGGACGCGCCAGAGACGAATGTAACCACCTTCTATTAGACCGAGCTCGCGTGGTGGGCCACGAACCGCACGACGAACATCACCTCGCCCTTCACGAACAAGACGTACGCCATGGCGCGCTACAGCGTGAACAACACCGCGCCCCGGCCCGAGTCCTACCTCCAAGGTATCGTTTAACCTCCATCCCCCCCCCGCCCCCAGCTACCTCTCCTTTCCCAGCCGAACTCACTGATCTCCGCCGACGCCGCAGACTACCAGACGGTGCACGACCCGACGCAGCCTCCGCTTTCGTCGGACGAGCAAGCCGCGCTCTACGCCGAGCTCGCGTCCGGCGCCGAGACGGGCTGGGATTACTCGACCCGCTGGATGAAGGACCCGAGCGTCGGCTTGCGCTCGCTCAACGTCCGCAGCATCGTCCCCGTCGACCTGAACTCCATCCTGTGTACGTCCCCTCCCTCTCAACCCCCCACCCGCCCCTCCACCCGCAACGCGCTCATCCGCCCTTTCCTCCCTCCCCTCCCTCCCTCCCCCAGACGCCGCGCGCACGAACCTCGCCGCGCTCTACGCCAAAGCCGGCAAACCCTCCTCCTCGGGCGCGAAGCAGCACCTCGCCGCCGCCGCGCAGATCCGGGCGGGCGTGCTCGACCTCTTCTGGGACCGAACCAAGGCGGCGTTCTACGACTTCAACGCGACCGCCGGCGCGCGGAACGACCGCTGGACGGCGGCGACGTTCTACCCGCTCTGGGCCGGGATCGTGCCGGACGAGGTGCTGAACGGGACGCGGAGCGCGTTCGAGCTGTTCGCGGCCGTGCACCTCGTTATGACGCGGTATAACGGGACCGTGCCCGTGACGTTCACCGTCAGCGGGCAGCAGTGGTGCGTTAACAACCCCCTTCTCCTCCCCCCCCC